GCGCCGTGACGGATGTAAGGCCAGCCGGGCCGCAGTAACCGTTTATAGTCCAGGAGTCCTGGGGACGCCACCCATGAAACCCAGACGCCAAGCTTGGCTCGCTGGAAAGAAATGGCCCTTCCCAATGTTTCTACCCCTGCAGACCCGACTCGGGCCAGAAAGGGCTTGACCCAAATGGCTACGGAGAGGAGGAGGAGGAGGAGGAGGAGGAGGAGGAGGAGGAGGAGGAGGAGGAGGAGGAGGGAGGAGGAGGAGGAGGAGGAGGAGGAGGAGGGAGGAAAGGAGGAGGAGGAGGAACAGGAGGAGGAGGGGGAGGGGGAGGAGGAGGAGGGCCAGTCGAGTCAACGGTAGCCCTTCCTGGTGTGTGTGTGTGTGTGTGTGTGTGTTCGTCCCTCATGGGCCTTCCGGAGGCGCCTCGTCGCCACGGCTGGATCCGCCGCGGAAGACGGGGAAGGCCGGGGACCGCGCGGAGGCCGTCTGGGGAGCCCCTGCGGGGGGGCTGCTCGGGGGGCACGCCTGAGGGTGACCCCGGGGGTGCCAAGGAGGGCCGCTTCGGGCGGGGCTCAGGAGGAGAAGGAGGAGGAGGAGGAGGAGGAAGAGGAGGAGGAGGAGGAGGAGGAGGAGGAGGAGGGGGAAGAGGAGGAGGAGGAGGAGGAGGAGGAGGAGGAGGAGGAAGAGGAGGAGGAGGAGAAGGAGGGGGAGGAGGAAGATGAGGAGGAGGAGGATGAGGAGGGGCGGGGGTCAATGCAAACGGGGGTCAGCCAGAGCGCGGGATCTTGTAGGATTTTGCAGGGCCAGGGTTGTATTGACCCGGGTTTGGTTGTAGGATTTTGCAGGATTTGTTGTCGTATTGGCCCGGGTGTGGGTGTCGGATCTTGTAGGGTCTTGTAGGACTCAGCAGGGCCTGACTGACCCGGGTTTGGATTGGCCCGGGTCAGGAGATCCCCGACCGCTGGGATGTGGCCTTGGGAGGCTGGTGCCCCCGCGGGCGCGAGCGGGCCTGGGCCGCGAGTGCGGCCGGCATGGGCGGGGTGCGGGCGTTTATACATGTGTTCCTGCGTTTACATGTGCACAGGCAGGTACGTACCAGTACACACGTATACAGGCGCACATGTTCGCTGGCGTGGGCCCCAAGGCAGTGTGTTTCTGGCAGAGTGTGCGGAGCAATCTATGTGGAGCAGTGTGCGCGGTGCAATCCCTGTGGTGCATCCTATGTTGGGCAACCCATGTTGTACACTATACCGGTCGGAGGTTCTCGTTCGCTGCCGTCATACATGTTTGTTGTGTTGTGTGCCCAAGTTGCCTGGCCGGTGCCAGGGGGGCACTGTTGTGGTAAGGCCGAGTGCCTCCCGAGGGTCCCGCGAGTCGAGACTTCCTGAAAATGTTGAGGTGGTCTGGTCCGTTTCCTTTGTCTGACATCCTCACAATTTCGTGTTCCGGGACGACTTAATCTGAGATGGTTTGGCCCGTTTCGCCTTAGAGCTCCCAGACGCTGCGCCCTCAGTGCTCTGGCTCATTTCGCCTGAAACCTCATTGCATCGCTGGGCGCGGAGATGCCGTGACCTGAGGTCCTCCGCCCATTTCGCTTGAGACGTCCTTTCATTTCTGGGCTCGGAGATGCTTTGCACGAGGCGATCCAGTCAATTTCACTCAAGATATTCCCGCAACTCTGGGCACAGAGATGCCGAGTGCGAGAGGTTCGCTTGAGGCTTGCTCGCATCTCCGAGCAATCGGTTACGAATAGGAGGAGGAGGAGGAGGAAGAGGAGGAGGAGGAGGAGGAGGAGGAGGTAAAGTAGGAGGAGGAGGTGGAGGAGGAGGAGAAAGGTTTTAAGGGGAAAGAGGAGGAGGAGGAGGAGGAGGAGGAGGAGGAGGAGGAGGAGGAGGAGGAGGATAATGGCAGGATCATGCTGCCTGCTCGCATTTCAGTTGCACAAGTACTTCTGTCCTCGTTGCTGCCGGGACAGTCCTCGTCGCCAGGGCTAGACGTGGCACGGGGTGGGGGGGCGGGGCGACCTCGGGCTGCTCGGGTCGCCCTGTGGGCTGGGGTTGCCATTATCCAGAGGCGGCAGCCCCAACGGCGGTGCCAAGGAGGTGCCGGGGAGGGTTTGCCCCCACAAGAGCGCTGCATCCAATGGCCCACGAAGGCTTCTCCGGCTAGACCGCACTGCGAGGCATTTGCGTCAATACGTTGAACATATGTTGGGCCCACGAGCCCAGCAAGGAGTTTCGGTCAAAGAACGTTCTGTCAGACTGTTCTGGTGACGCCTTCATTTGTGAGGATGTCTCAGACGAGTGCCGCGGATGTCTGCAGCGACACGCCCCGCCACGCCACATGCGGGCGGCGGGGATCGGCGGCGAGCGATGGGGGGGAAGTTGTAAGGAGAAGGCCTGCTCAGAAGGCGGCGGGAGTTCTCAGCAGCCCTCGCGCTTTCTGAGAAGTGCTCCGTGTCTTCGGGGAAGGCTCGCAGAGTTTCTCAGAAGCCCAGGGGACCTCCGAGCCCTCCTGGGATGAGAACGATCGAATTGTGTACGGAAAGAATGGGCGCGATGCCCAAAAAGTAGTTCTGGTTCGTTCTGAACAGGACTCGCTGTTCGCTCCACCGCGGACGTAGCTCCTTTTGATACAGAAGGCCGCCTGCCCGACAGCGGCTGGTGTCGGTTTTGGACAACATTTACTGTTGGGCATCGTCTCCGTTTTTTACGTACGCATTCCGGGCGTCCAAAGGAGCTTCCGGGACCCTGCAGGGCCTGATTGGCCCGGGCTTGCACTGACCCGTGGCAGTGCGTCCCCGAGTGCGGCGCGCTTCCCCGACCCCATCTGCTCAGACCCCATCTGGGAGGCCTCTATCGGAAACCCTGGGGACCTCCGAGCCTCCTGTCATCATCCACCAGACCACCCCAACCCCACCCGTAGGCATCAACTTGCCCTCCAGTTCCAGTGTGGGGAGGCCGGGGAACAACGAGAAACGCATATATGATATGGAGACCGTACCCCCCCAACCCGAAATTGAGATCTTCGGGTTAGGTTGGGGTGGTCTGGTAGGTGGTCATTCTGAGAGGGCACGCCCCTTCTCCCTCCCCCCCCTGGAGGGTTTCTCCGAAGGGCCCAGGCGACCCGTCCTCCTCCTCCTCTTCATCCTCCTCCTCCTCCTCCTCCTCCTCCTCCTCCCCTCCCCCTCCTCCTCCCTCCTCCTCCTCCTCCCCTCCTCCTCCCCCTCCTCCTCCTCCTCCTCCCCCTCCTCCTCCTCCTCCTCCTCTCCCCTCCTCCCTCCTCCTCCTCCTCCTCTCCTCCTCCTCCTCCCCCTCCTCCTCCTCCTCCTCCCCTCCCCTCCTCCCCCTCTTCGGGTCGCCCACGGCTCCAGGGGAACCCGTGTACCCCCCCCCCACCCACCCGGGGCTTGCCCTCTCGTCGGGGGGAGCGCCCGAGCCCGGGGTTCGCGGGCCGCCCCAATCTCGCACTGCAACAAGTGCAGCCAGGGCGCTGGGCCGCGCGCACCACTCGAGGGGAGGCCCCCTGTTCCAGTGCGCCGCTCCCGCGGCCCGCGCGCGGCCGGGGGGCCTTTGAGACGGGGCGCTTCGTCAGCCACGCGCAGGGGGGGTATATTGTTCTTATCAGAGAGAGTGGTCCTAGAGGTCCTGTGCGAGGTCTTGTGCGGGGGATGTCTTGTGCGGGCTCTCGTGCTGGGCTCTGGGCGTCGATCCGCGTGCTCTGGCTTCGTTCTCCTGCGCGAGTGGTCTTGTGCGCGTCTTGTGCGCGACCACTCTTCGCTCGACCATTGTTTCTGATAAAAACTGGTGGGGGAGGGGGGAAGGCTTCTCAGAAGCACCCCTGCTACTTAGAAGGCGCGGGCCTTGCCCAAATATGTAGGGCCGACGCCTTCTGAGAAACAGCCTACTGCCAAGAAGCCTTCACCCTCCCCCTGCCCCCTCGTGCGCGCCGCCAAGTTCGGTAGCAAATCATGGGAATTTGGTATGGCGTCTGAATTCCTTCTTGCGCGTCGATTCTTAGCGTTGGTTAGCGTCGATTGGCGTCCATTTCGCGTCGATCAGCGTTGATTGAGCGTCGACTAGCGTCGAGTCGCGAGAGCCGACAAGATGGTATGGGAGCCTCCCAGGAGTTGCCACCGAAGGGGGGGGGCGGCAGTGTAAACGGGGGTCGGCCAGGATGCCGGATCTCTTGCAGGATCCTGCAGATGCAGGGGTTCTAGGCCTCCTAGATGGGGTCGGAGTAGATGGGGTCGGGGGATCGTGCCACATCGCCGGTGCATCGCCGATGCATCCCCAATGCGGCTCGACGTGGAGCTCGATTCGCTTCCCGTCGACGTCGCTGATGCATCGCCCACGTCGCCGATGCATCGCTGGCGCATTGCCGGCGCATCGCCGATGCATCGCCGATGTATCGGCGATGCGGCGCGATTCCACGACCCCATTTACTCCAACCCCATCTAGGAGGCATGCAGGATTCTGCAGGATCCTGCAGGTTTGCATGCAGGAGCCTGCATGATCTCGGTACGAGCGAAAGTGGTGCGGGAAGGAGGGGCACGATGCCCAACAGCAGTCCCTGTTCATTTTGAACAGGACTCGCCGTCCGCGCTGCCGCGGACGTTGTCCCTTTGAGACAGAAGGTCGCCTGCCCAACAGCGGCCGCTGTCGGTTTTGGACAACACTTGCTGTTGGGCATCGTCTCCATTTTTTCCGTACCGTGCCACATCACGTACATCGCGCGTGAGGTGAAGTCGTGTGATGTGAGTCGTGTGTGCGCGCGCGTGAAGGTTTCTTTGCGTAACAGGCGGCTCTGAAGGGCCTCTCCTATAACCCCTCCCCTCCCAAAAATCCAGGCGTCCAAAGGAGCTCGCAGGACCCTGCAGGGCCTGACTGGCCCGGGCTTGCCCTGACCCGGGGCAGTGCGTCGATGAGTGCGGCCGGGGGGGGGGGACGGGGGCGCGGCGGCGCCTGCAGGTCAGTTCGCGGGTGCTGGTGAAGGCGGACCTCCGGGGGATGTCCCTCGCAGGCGCGCCCAATGCTCGGTGGAGGTTGAACTGCACAGGGCCTATCTCGTCCCATCCTCCCCCTGCGCCCCAGGAGCGGGAGAGAGCAATCCCAGGAGATTGTGTTTGTCCATGCCGTGGCGCGTATGGGTCGCTTCCCGGGCCCAGCCCGCCCCACGGGTAACGGTAACGATCGTACATGAGTGGCCTGGCTCCTCCCCCACGTGGCGGTGTTCGCCCCCGTCCCGAAGTGGCCCACACCGCCAACCGCTACATACCCTTACCCTTACCCGCCCCTCCCCCCCGCGTAACGACCATTACTGGACGTCATAAAAAAGACAACCCCAGACATATCCAACGACCTGATTTTCAATACGCGGCATCGGGGTCACGATCCCGACCCCCTCCCCCGGGGTACGTCTCTCGCCCCACTATCCGTTTCTCACGGCCTTCTCCCCCCGGCCCAGCTGCTTGAGACCACCGGTCACCCACGGGAGAGCCGGCATGTTCGGGGGGCGGCGGCGGTGTCTGCTGGCTCGCGGTCATTGTGTGCCCTTGGCGAAGGGACCTGCAAGGCAGCTGGGAGGAGGAGGAGGGGGAGGAGGAGGAGGAGGAGGAGGAGGAGGAGGAGGAGGAGAAGGAGGAGGAGGAGGAGGAGGAGGAGGAGGGCGAGGAGGAGGAGGAGGAGTAGGTGGAGGAGGAGGGTGAGGAAGACGAGGAGGAGGAGGAGGCAGTAGTCGTCACACGGTTCTGCCTCTTCCCGTCTCCACGCGATGATGTTCTGATGAGATCATGATCGTTCCTCCTCCCTTCTTCTCCTCGATCTGTATGCCTTTCCCTTGTTTACATCTGCCTACACGCAGGACGGGGGAGGAGGATGTGGAGGGGGAGGAGGAGGGAGGCGAAGGAGGAGGAGGAGCAGGAGGAGGAGGAGGAGGAGGAGAAATGACATGCACAAGCTTTCGGAGCCGCAGCGCGTGGATCTCTTTGATCGTCGCCGGGCCTGACGAGGAGAAAGACGAGGAGGACGATGAGGAGGAGTGACCTATTTAAGACGCTGGAGTAATCCAATAAACGTTACGCCATACACAAACTTTCGAAGATGCGCTCGGTTTTCTTGGATCGGCGAGGACTAGGAGAAGGGGAAGGCGGCGGAGAAGGAGGAGGAGGAGGACCAGGACGAGGAGTGATGCAGTCCAGACGCTGAAATAATCCAAGACACCTGACAGCATCCACACAGACTCCTTGAGCCGCGCGCGGAAGTCTTGGATCGGCGCTGGGCCCCCCGTTGTCGTTGGAGGAGGAGGAGGAGGAGGCGGAGGAGGCGGTGGAGGAGGTGGAGGAGGAGGGGCGATGCAGTCAGGACGCTGGAAGATTATCCGAGACTCAGAACGGCATGCGCGTAGACCTCCGGAACTCTTCGCGCGGACTCCTCTCGGATCGGCGCACGGGGCCGTTCCCCGGCACACGGAGCGCGCCACGTTCCGAGCGCGGCGCCCCCCGTGGCGGCGCCTCCGATGGCGCGCCCCTGGCGTGCGTCTTGCGCGTCGGGGGGAGCGGCACAGCGCCGGTCGCGGAGGGAATTTCCGCGCGGGCCTCCGAACAGTTGATGCTCACAGTGGCCTGGCATCGCTCGGACGTCTGCATTTTTTTCTCGGCGAGGACCCTGGAGGAGCATCCTGGATCATCGAGCAAACAAAAACACGCGCGAAACCGAATAACAAATGCACAGGGAATGGACGTCCGAGCGATGGCAAGGTGGGGACCCATGCCAAGAAACATCCCACGGGAGGCAGGCCTCGAGCTATCGAACCACCCACGTTTGTATGAACTGTCCTGCTACCATCGAGCTGTCGAACTGTCGAGCTTCAGTTGAGCACTTGCGATGCATGGAGACCCATGCCAAGACACACCCTGCTTGCCTCCAGGGTGCCCTGGGTTTCTTGGGTTCCGATGGTTTGGCGCTGGAAGGCGTGGCGATGCCACACCAAGAATCGATGGGCGTCCTGGGGCCTCAGGGTTGGGTTTCTTGCGGAAGGTTTCTCTCGTGGACTGGCCTCCGCCGTACGTCTTTTCGTCCTCTCGACAACAGCACCGCTTCGACCTCGGGAGAGGGCCGCCTGTTTGTGGGCCGGTCCGCAGAGCTGGGTGGTCGAGGGGCCCGCCCGTGGCGGGCCCGCCCGTGGCCGGGGCTCGCTGCGGGCGGGAAGGACAGCGCCGTGCCCTGCTCGGCGTTCCTTGCCTGTCCCTCTACAGTCGGGGGCTCCCAAACGGGGTGGTGACCACACCGTGTGGTGAGTCGGTGGGGGTTCGGGGTCACCGCACGGTTTTGGGACTTGGGTCGTTTTCCGAGGATGTCTCGAGCGGTTGGGGCCTCCAGGGTCCCAAAACCGTGTGGTGACGGACCATGCGGTGAGGTCGTTGCGGATTTCGAGGTCGCCGCCGGGTCTGTCACCACACGGTTTTGGGACACCCAATACAGGAGGAATAAGCAAAACTAGTCACGTAGCATTATTGTTTTTTTTGTTTTTTTTGGGTTTGGCAACGTTTGGTTTCTGTGCAGAATCCGCCTGTATAGGGGACATGCCCGACCTGATTCTTGCACGACGTGTGTGGGACGCGCGGAATGGGGAGTGGGGGGGGGGGGCGGGCGAGGGCGAGAGGGCGAGAGGGCAAGAGGGCTGCTGCTGGGCGGGGCGTGCTTCCTCCTCCTCCCCCTCCTCCCCCTCCTTCTCCTCCTCCTCCTCCCCTCCTTTTCCTCCTACTCCTCCTCCTCCTCCTCCTCCTCCTCCTCCTCCTCCCTCTTCCTCCTCAAGGAGGGGGGGCGGGCTGGGGTCGAAGGGCGGGGAGGAGACGGAGGGGGGGCAGGAGGAGGGGGAGGAGGAGAAGAGGGCCGACGCCGGAGGAGGGGGGGGGGAATAAGGGAAGAGGAGGGGGGTGAGCGGGGCGGGCGGAGCGCGGAGCAGGAGGAGGGGTTGGGGGGGGGGAGGCGGTGAAAGAGATGCCAGGGGATGACGGGGAGGATGAGAATGAGGAGGAGGAGGAGGAGGAGGAGGAGCAGGAGGAGGAGGAGGAAGGCGACGAGGAGGAGGAGGGGGCGGTCATCGCCACACGGTCCTGCCTCTTCCCGTCTCCACGCTTCGATGTTTTGATGAGATCAGGATCGTTCCTCCTTTCTTCTTCTCCTCGATCTGTATGCCTTTCCCTTGCTTTGCATCTGCCTACACGCAGATCTACGTGCGTCGCCGGTGACCCCTTGAGCAGTGCTGCAAGGGCCACCTGGCCCTAGTTTGATCAACCCCCGATGGCCGACCGTCCCTGGGGGAAGGAGGCTACGAGCGACGTTATTTTCAGCCATCAGGAATCAGGAGGCATTAGAGGTGGAGCGAGAAGGGTGAACGGGAAGAGGAGGGGGAGGGGAAACAGGGGGCAGGATGATGGGGAAGGGCAAGGGTGGTGTGGGAGGATAAGGAGAAGAGGATGACCAGGAGGAGGAGCGGGCGAGCATGATGCGGGAACAGGGGGGCGATCAACATGCTTTCGCAGTGAGGATGCCTATTCGATGCGGGGGCGCAGGTGCGTAAGTGTCGCGTTTGAGGCAACCCAATCAGGAGGAGGACCCAAACACGACCAGAGTACATGATCTGCCGCGAACAGGACACGGACTTACATTGATAATGGCACGGACCGTTACGCGGGGGACGGCCAATCAAACGCTCTGTCCGTTCCTGGGCCGTCCTTTTTATTGTCGGGGAGTATGTGTTGGGGTCGTCTTGGTGGCTTCTTTGGCCGCCTTGGGACTTCTCGGGCCGCCTTATGGGTCTTTTAGGACCGCGTTGTGGAATTACGTGCACATCGAAGGGATAGCGGTACGTAACATACACATGATGATATCGTTGCGTACGGCTAATGTGTGTATAGGTCAGCCAGTTTTGAACGCTTCTAGTATGTTTCTAGCGATACATTTTGCGCAGTTTACGTGGTGCAATCTGCGTCGTACAAGCCACGCGGTGCAACCCATGATGTGCAATCTACGAGGTGCAATCTATGTTGTGCAACCGATGTGGTGCAATCTATGTGTCGCAACCTGTTTGGTGAACAATAGGTGGAACTGTGGCGCAGTGTAGGTGGTGCAGTGTCAGTTGTGTAGCCTATGTGGTGCGATCTATGTGGTGCAGTGACCCCTGCCGAACTTGAACTTGTCAACTCCATTGCTCGCGCAATCATCGCACCCACGCGCCTGCAATTTATTTTGCAAAACCCCATGCGGCGGCGATTGCGGTGACTGCTTGGCGCTGGCAGGCGCATCGCTGCGGCCGCGCTAGCGCGCGCAGGCTTGCGCGCAGAGCGGTCAGCTAGTTTGGCGCGACCGACGCGGCCGCGGTGGCGCTGACTGCTTCGCACTTCGCATCGCGTCTCGTGGGCCGCGCTGGCGCGCAGGCAATTCCGTGAGTCGGTGATTCGGGCGGGCGCGGTACCGTGACGACGTCGCTCACGGCATCTGGTGACGATGATGGTGACGATGATGACACTGAAGACGGTAAGGGTAATGGCAGCGCCGATGCTGCTCACACCAATGCTGATGATGGTGTCTTCGCGTCGGGCCGCATGGTATTCTTGGCCACCCCCCAGCACACGCGCAATAGCGTTCGAAGGATTCCACATGTGCCCGCGAAAGGGCCTTGTGGTCGCATTTGATGAACGCGCCGGAAACAAAACCGATCATTTTCTCACGGGTTTGCAAGAGCGCGCACCGATCTTTGTGAAATGCCGTGGTGCAAAACCACTGTTGTGTTACAGGTTTTCGGGGCGTCAGGTTTTGACATCCCTGCACAAACGATTGCTATTGTATGGAAAGTTTGGGCATGCGCGCGCGACGGCGCGCGCGTGTGGACATCGTCCCGTTTGTTGGCGTGCGCACATCGTATTGCTTTGCAAAAGGTCACGGGGCTAGTCGGTATTGGTTTGTTTGGGAGGGTATGTTTCCATATGCGGCATACACACATAACAACAGCACACGCACACTGCCATACATGAAGGCGCTCGGATACTCGGAGGGTTGATTTTCATGTTATAACGGGCCACCTATGTGGCGCAGTCTATGTGGTGCAACCGGTGTTGTGCAACCTATGTGGTGCACGCGCTGCGGTGCAATCGATGTGGTGTTTGCCCAACACCGGTGAAGTTTATCTAGGTTGCGCAGTCTATTCGGCGCAATCCATGTCGTGTAATTCATATTTGTTCGCAGTGAATCGTCCATTCCGTTGATCTCGCAAACATCCCATCCGCCCACCGGCAATTTGGTTTGCCATTCCCATGCGTCGGCGGATGCGATGAGGTCTTGGCGCTGGTTGGTGCATGTCTGCGGCCGCGCCAGCCCGCGCACGCACGCGCGCGCAGCGGCCAAGTAGTTTTGGGCGACCGACGCGGCCGCAGTTGCGCTGACCGGTTGGCACATCCTAGCGGACACTTCAGTTCGAATCGGCGAGTTGGGCGGGCACGGTTTCATAGCAACGCCGAATGATACGGTGACGACAGTAGCGATGATGGTCGCGATGGTGACAACGACGACGGCACGGCCAGTGACGGCGCCGATGCTGATCACGCCGGCGACGATGACGGCGTCCTCGCGTCGGGGATGAAGGTTTTAGAAGGAGTTCGACATGCGCGCGCGGCCGATGCGCAAGGGTGGCCGATGGTCTCATGTGACGCGGATCGTGCCCCCCCCCGCGCGCACGCAACGGCGTTCGAATGATTTCGGCATGCGGCGCGAGAGACCCGTTCGTCGTGGTTCAATGCGCATATGGAGAAATTCGTTTTTTTTTTTTTTTTTTTTTGTTGTTTTTTTTTTTTTTTTTTCCTCGGAAAATTCGCTAAAACGCAAACACATGTTTTAACATTGGTGTTGCGAAACCATTGTTGTTGTACGATGTTTTCGGGACGTTCGAATTTGGATTCGCCGCGAAATTCGACGTTTTTTGAATGATTTCTGCATCCGCGCGCGACGACGCGCGCGCGTTTGCAAAGGATTCTCGCAACAGCGCGCGCGCGCCAAGGCGTTCGAACGATATCGGCACGCGCGCGTGTGAAACCCGTTTTGTAACATGTCGTGAGAATGTCGGAAAGCCGATGTTTTGACCGTTAACCCAGGGGGTGGGGGATAGATAATAGTTTTTCAGGCATATAGGTTGTGCAACTTCTGGGGTGCAGTCTTTGTTGCGCAGTGTAGTGGTGCAACCTAGGTGGTGCAATCTAGGTTGCACAGTGTATCTGGACCAGTTTGTGTCGTGCAATAGATGTTGTGCAACCTGCGTGGTGCAACTGATGGGTGCAATATACGTTGCCAAATATACGCGGGGCACGTTTCGTGGGTGTATGTATGGCGTGCAGTTCATGTTCCGCAATGCAGGGCAAGTCGACTGCAAAGCAGTGCGATTGAAATGCAGTGCGTTTGCAATGCGATGCAATATGATGCCAGCCGATGCACGGCAATGCAAAACAATGCGAATCAATACAGGTCCAGACGACGAGCGTCGACGAGGTAGCGACGGGGCGGCGACGGCGACTACGGAGCCGCCAAACCACTAGGCAGGCCCAGACGATGAACGGCCACGAGACGGCGGTGGCGACGGCGATGACACAGCCGAAAACCGCCAGACACACCTAGACAACGGGCAGTGACGAGGTCGGCGACGACATCTCGGCCAGACCGACAGCCAGGCCCAGTGTTTTAGACGATACTTCAGAAACCGAAAGTGCAGCCACTGTTCCTGTAGTGTGTGATGCGTGTATGTACATACTATGTATATGTTATATATGCATACGTTGTGGTATCGACAGGTGTTGATACCGGTCGATTGCGAAATCGATCTGTGCATATACATGTCTTGTAGTGGCCTCCGGCCAATGCCGCCGATCCCGGGCGCTCCTGATGCTATTGTTGTTGCAATGGACGAGGACGACGACAACGGACGACCAACGGTCGATGAACGGGATAATTACGACGACGACGACCGACGGAGGAGTTAATGACGACGAACTTACGACGACGACGACGACGACGACGACGACCACGACGACGACGACGACGACGACGACGACGACGACGACGACGACGACGACGACGACGACGACGACGACTGACGGCGAACGGCTGCCGACGGCCGACGACCGACGACTGGTGACGGCGACGGGTGGAAGGTTCTTCGTTCATCGCTTTCGCTTCCGAGCAATACCAAGTCAGGCCGTGCATCTTTGGCCTGGCAGCACGCGAGTGAGCGCCTCTTGGGGTCTCTTGGTTCTTGGGGCTTCTTGGGGGCCTTTGGGGCCTCTTGGGGGCCTCTCGGGGTCCTCTTGGGGGCCTCTTGGGGACCTCTTGGGGGCCTCTGGGGGCCCCTTGGGGGGCGCCTGGGGGGCATCTTGGGGGCTCTTGGGGTCCTCTTGGGGTGGAGGACTAGAAGGTCCGTTCGGGTTCACCCTCTCGAGGCCATCTTGGGGGCCTCTCGGGGTCGCCTTGGGGGGCCTCCAGGGCTATATTGGGGCCCTCTTGGACCGTCTTGGCTCCTCTAAGGGGCCTCTTGGGCTGTGTTGGGGCGATCTTGGGGGCCTCTTGGACCGTCTTCGGCGCTTCTAAGACGGAAAAGGCGATAATGTTAAAATGCTTCAAAACCTATTAGCAATTTTATCATTGTACCCTCTTCGGGCCCTCTTGGGGGTCCTCTTGGGATCTCCTTGAGGCGTCTTGGAGGCCTCTTGGGCCGTCTTCAGGCCATCTTGGGCGTCCAGGAGCGCTCTTGGGCCGTTTCGGGCGCCTGCTGGACCGTCTTGGTGGCCTCCTGGGCCCCTTTTGGCCCGTCTTGGGGCCGTTTGGGATTCCCGGGGGGGGGGGGAAGAAAGGGTGGACCCCATGAACCCCCCCCCTCCCCCCTCCTACCCCGGCAGAGCCCCCCCGGCCCCCCTAGCAGAGCTGAAGCTCAGGTTGTAGCTTTCTTAAACCCACACGCCGGATCGGCGGATATATTCACACACGCACATATATACACATATATATATACATCGATAGTTTGATCGGTAGACCAGTTGTTAGGCCGACAGGTTGTGAGATAGACCGATATTTTGATACGGCGATCGGTCGACTGATCGTGAACCCGGTCGATCGGTACATCGGTGTCCAGTAGTTGTCCTGTGGTCATCCAGTGGATGCCCCGCGTTTGTACCGTGGTTGAGTTTGTCCAATGGTTGTCCTGCGGTTATCCCGTGGTTGTTCTCTGGTTCTCCAGTGGTTGTCTTGCGGTTGTCCCGTGATTGTCCGTGGTTGCCCCGAGGTTGTCACGTGGTTGTCCCGTGGTTGTCCTGTGGTTAAACCTTCGTTGTCCGTGGTTGTCCCGTTGATGCCCCGTTTTTGTGCATTGGTGTTCTTGTTGTCGCACGTGGATGTTCCGTGGGTGTCCCTTGGGTGTCCCGCCTTCATATATATAAATATGCAGCCGGTTTACAAATATGCATATACTTCGGTTCATGTATTTATCATGTGAGAGTGAGACATTGCTGTATGCATGCACATGTAGCTGATGCAACTCATCGATAGCAATACCGGATGCTATTATGTTAGTGTGACTGGGGGATTGGCAGTAAGACCGATACACGTATACAGTTGTTGGAAGATCGATCGATTGTATCAACAAAACCAAGATGTTATATCGCGAGTCCGATCTGTCGCCAGTCGCAAACCGGACACTGTACCCATCCACCTCATCACCCGAAGGCTAGTCTTACGGGTATAGGTGGCGCGGGCCAGGGTGGAAGGCAGAGGGGGCGGGCCTTCTCAGAAGGCCCAGAAGGCCCCCGGCCTTCTGAGAAGTTTTCTGAGTTTCCTCCGAGGTCACATCGTGCGGGCCTGGAACGCTCCCAGAGTATTCCTGAACGCTTTGAGAAGGCCGCAATTGCTGACTTACCCCTCAGAGCCGCTGGATCTCTGAGTTTCTCGATGTATCCTCGCCCGATCTTATCCTCATCCTGGCTTTGTCTTATCACCAAGGGCTTCTCGGTAGGCGGGGGTGCCAGGGACCCTGAGCCCTCTGAGGAGGCCCGCCTGCCCCCTCTCACTTCCTGCCCTGGCGCGCCGCCGAGAGAGGGTGGCGGGCGAAAAACGTCGGTGCACCGCGCTGATCGCGGCGCCACAGTCGGCGGTGAGCGAGGGAGGGAAGAAAGACGGAGAAGCCCTTCTCAGCAGGCGGCGGGACTTGTCCGAAGCCCTCGCGCCTTCTGAGAAGTTGTCTGCGTCTTCAGGGAAGGCTCAGATAGCCTCTCAGAAGGCCAGGGGGCCTCCGAGCCTTCTGAGCAGGCCCGCCCCTTCTCACGTCCTCTCCGGGATCGCCGCTGACACAGGTCTGAGGCCCATCCCCGACATCGTCGTCATAGTCCACCGCAACGAAGGCACGGGCGCGCGCCTCTTCAGCCCCCCGGGGTGATCTCTCGTCTAGCCAGGGCGCAGTCTCGTCGCACCCGTCCACCACCTACCTGCCGCTCCCGGCGGCCTCGGAGGTCTGTGCCGCTCTCTTGGATCGGCGCGGAGACCCCCTGGCGGCGCCTCCGGCGCCGCCACTCTCAGCGCTTCGCGCGCCATGGACGGGGTTCCAGCGCCGATCCAAGAAGTCCACGCGCAGCTCCAGGCGTTGGTGTTCGTGCATTTGTCTTTGGCTTCTTCTTCTGCCAGTGTCGGGGGCGTCCACGAGGGGGGTGAGGCCCAGCGGCGTGTGGACGACACAGCCGGTGAGCTGGAATCTCTATGATCTCATTGCCCTCTCTTATTCTTCAACATGTTCCCAGGCCCCCGTCTTCGACACACCCCTCGATGACGATCTCTTAAGTGAGGCCCGAGGCTGGCGGAGGAGGAGGAGGAGGAGGAGGAGGAGGATCGGGTTGGACAAAATGGGGGCTTGGGAAAGGAGGGTTACGACATCTGCTGCATGCGGCTGGTTTCGGCCCCGCCGCCGTGCGCCTTCCTCGATACATGTTCGCCCAGAGGCGCCACGGAAACCTCCTACCAGAGCCGAGGCGGAGGTAGAGGATGATTTGACGCTCGTGGACGTGTTCGGGTCTGGAGGACGCGGGGGGAAACTCGAGGCATCCCCGCAGAGCGCATCCAAAGACTCCAAAATTGACTAAAAACTGGGAGCACCTTGAGCCAGGGGTACATGGAGCGACCCCGAATATTTGTTTCTTGTCCGCTCCGGAGAACCAAGATTTTTCGAAACAGTTGAGCAACGGTCTTGCCCTTTCCAAACGCCGCTAAGGATCGCGCCGCATCGCCGACGCAATGGCGATGCATCGGCGAGAATGGGATGTCCCCCTCGCCACGCACTTACAGCACGTCTCAACCACGTGCCGGCTCCCCAAGAAAGAGAGAGAGAGCCGGTGCGCGCGAGAGAGGCGCGCGCGCGGAGGCGCGTTTTGTTTTTGTGTTTTGGGGATGGCGCCCGCATCGCCGTTGGCAGGGCCCAGGCCTCCACAGATGAGGTCCGAGTAGACGGCGTCGGAGGATCGCTCCGCATCGCCGATGCATCGGCGATGCGGCTCGACGTGGAGGCCGATTTTCTCCACGATGACGTCGCCGATGCATCGCCGACGTCGCCGATGCATCGCCGATGCTTCGTCGACGTATCGGCGATGCATTGGCGATGCAGCACGATTCTCCGACCCCATCTACTCGGACCCAAATTGGGAGGCTTCTGAGACGGATGATGAGAACTGCTTGGGGGGATAGGCTCAGGGGGGAAATGCATCGACCCCTAATCTTCCTCTCATCGCCAATAGCGGCCTGATATGATAGCCCACTCCGCCCAGGCACCTACGCAGATCTATCGGCGATGTGTCGCCAGTCACTCTCTTTCGTTCCCCTTCAAGGCTGATGAGGAGTAGGGGAGAGATTTATCTGCGGGCATCAATCGTAGCACGATCTCTTTTTTGCGCCATGGTGTGGCGCAGAGAGCGAGTTGGAGCGGGATGGTGACCAGGAGTAGGAGGAGGTAACGGAGGATGCGGAGCAGGGCAACGCTGAGAACAGAAACGGTCAAGATGAAGGAACTGAGAATGATCTGTTGATTGAGGACGAGGCGGCGCTCTTGTCGCGTTGAGTTGAGAGCGCTGCGACGGGCAGGGCACGAGACGGGAGAGAGGGTAGGGGTCACCGGGGCGGGCGAGGGTGTCGCAGCGACGGCGGCGAACCAGACGGGTCAGGGGACGGCAAGACCTGCAAGCCAGACAGGCCGCCAGCCAGGTGGCCGACACGGTGGCGGCCCTGGATGGGTCTGGCGTCGGGCGCGTGGGCGGGGCAGTCCTCGGAGCGGCGCCCGCAGCCAGGGGGAACCGACATCGCCACCCACGGCTGGTTTTCTCCTCGAAGCCTTGGTCAGAGCGCACCCCAGGAGATGTCATGGAAGCAGCGGCATCCGTACACCTTAGGCGATGCTTAAGAAAACTTAAGTTTTCGGCCAGAGGCTCGATTATTCTTAATGTTTCAATGTAAATCCTAAGATTTTAATAGAAATGTTGGGTTTTAATTCAAGTTCTGAGACGATGAATTTCTTAACCCATGATTTCTTAAGCATTTCGCAGGGTGTACCTTCTTGTTCACCCAAGCGGCGCCATCGCCGTCGGCCGCTGCCGTCGCGGCGCCGGCGGCGGCCCCACAGGTCGGGTTCTCCTCACGGACCGCAACGGCTTCTACCACGACGCGCTGGGGGCTGCGTGGCAGCTGACGAGGGTGCGCCCGCGCCTGGCCGGTGGGCTGAAGATGAGTCATGGTGGTGATGGTGATGGGGATGGGGATGTTGATGATGATAAGTACGGCGATGATGTTGATGATGATGCTGCTGATGGTGATAATCATGATGAGATGATGGTGACGCTATTGATGCTGGTGATCATGCTTATGGTTATGATGATGCTTCTTATCATGATGATTAGATCAACATGAGGATGGCAATGGCGATTATGATGGTGATGGTGGTGATGATGATGATGATGATGATTATGATTATGAAGCTGCTGATGATGGTGACGGTGCTGAAGGTGATGGTGATGGCAATGGTGATGGTATTTGCGAGATTGTTGTGATGATGATTATGATGATGATGCTGTGCTACTGCTGCTGTTGCTACTGTTGATGCTATGTTGCTTATGCTGATGTTTATGAACATGGTGATGCTGGGGATGGTGATGATGATGTTGATGGCGAGGATGGTAATGATGTTGTTCAGTTTGATTATACCGATGACGACGGCGATGCCGATGCTGTTGATGCTGATGATGTCGATGATGTTGTTGCTGATGCTGATGGCTATGATAGTGATGATGATGCTGCTGATGATGAAGATGCTTCTGACGACTGATGATGGCGGTGACGTCGATGATGACGGAGAGTGTGATCATGGTGATCGTGATGTTGTGGTTGATGATGATAGTGGTAATAGCTTTGGTGTGGAGTGTTGATGTTGATGACGCGGAAGTGGAATCGTAAGATGATGATGATGATGATAATGATGATGATGATGATGATGATGATGATGATGATGATGATGATGATGATGATGATGATGATGATGATGATGATGATGATGATGATGATGATGTGGGTGTTGTCGGTGAAGGGGAGGACCAGGAAGAGGAGGAGGAGGAGGAAGAGGATGAGGATGAGGATGAGGAGGAGGAGACGGGTTATGAACCTGATGAGGATGCGGATGAGGATGCGGATGAGGAGGATGAGGATGGGAATGGACCAGGGATTCGGGCAAGCTTGACCTCTGAGGCATGAGGGCTCGGGGCTGGATGGCCGAGCCCATCCGCATCTCCCCGCCGCCTCGGATTGCGTGGCACCCCAGGGCCAAGTTCCACTTCCGCTTTGCCCCCACACGGCACGGCAGTGAAGCCGTTGAAGCAAGGACCAGCTCGTGCGTTCGTGAGGAGTTCGCCTCTCCTCGTGGCCTTTCGTGCTTGTGCCTCCAGCTTTCCTCGTGCACCTGGGCGCGCTCGGGGCAGAAGGTGCGCGCTCCCTGGCAGCGTCGGCAGGGCACGCCCAGGGACGAAGGCAGAGGGAGCGGGCCTTCTCCTAAGGCTCAGGAGGCTTAGGTCGAGCATGTCCCCCTGCAGGCGGATTTGGGGCGAAGAATCAAAACATCGTTGAAACACAACATTGTTTGGACTATTTCTGAGCATCCCTTCGCCGAGAAGCTCTCTGAGCCTTCTGCAGACCCACGAGGGCTTCTCAGAAGGATGGAGGGCTTGGAGAAGCCCCGCCGCCTTCTTAGAAGGCCTGCCCCCTCTCGCTTCCCCGCTCGGCGCGCCGCTGGTCGTTGCGTGGCCGTACTGCGCGGCTTCCAGCACCGGGCCCCCGAGCCCTTCCTCATGGCCGTCCACGTGCACGGCACCACGCCGCAGGGCTGCAGGGCTTTGCCGGCTTGGGCCTGAGCACGCGGGACCATGCGGCATGGTACCAGTGGTGAAGGAAGGGGCGAGCCCCTGGCTTCGTGTGCACAAGGGCTGGCGGGAAGCCCATCGTGGTTTTCGGCAAGCAAGGCGATGAGCCCCTGGCAGGCTTTCGCTGTCCAGGAAGCGATCGCGACCGCTGCTCTCTCTCTCTCTCTCTTCCTTCTGTCCCTCCCTCCCTCTCCCTCCCCGTCTCTCTCTTCCCCCCCCTCCCTCTCTCTCCCTCTCTCTCAGCCCCTATCCCTCCCTCCCTCTCCCTCGCTGCCTTTCTCTCTCCCTTTCTCGCCCTCGAGAGACACAGGGCTGGCCGGGCGCCTCGTCAGTGCAGCGCAGGGCCCCGAGAGAGGCCGGGCAGCGCGTGGGCTCCCTCGCGCGCGGCACGGGCGGCGAGGTGAGAAGCCGTGCGCGGGGCATCCTGCGCGCCGCGTCTCTGCGGCACGGCGGCGGCGCCGGCCCGGGTGTGTGTTCGGGGCCTTCGAATGATCGGGAGCCCCCAAACCAGGTGGTGAGATATCAGGTGGTGCCCTGGAATCCCCAAAAGTCACCCCCGGGTTTTGGGACACGGGCTCACCGCCGGGTCTTGTGACTCCTGGGCCCACCAGCGTTCGGGACATCCTCGAACAAGCGCATGGGCCCGCAAACCGGGTGGTGACACCAAATCGCCCGAGACTCATCGCCAGGTGTTGTCACCACCACGTTTAGGGATTACCAAAATGATGAGCCTGTTTTCCACCACCACCATGAGTTGGACGGGGGAAGGGGGAGGAGGAGGAGCAGGAGGAGGAAGAGGAGGAGGAGGAGGACGGAGGAGGAGGAGCAGAAGGAGAGGAGAAGGAGGACGGAGGAGGAGGAGCAGAAGGAGGAGCAGGAGGAGGAGGAGGAGCAGGAGGAGGAGGAGGAGGAGGAGGAGGAGGAGCAGGAGGAGGACCCCCCCCGCCAATTTATGGTGGTGGTGGTGGTGGATGACACACCCATCATAGAGGAATATTCAAAAATAGTCAAAAGATAGTCTGGGGACGATTGTCTGAACGATCTGCGGCTATTTTTGAGCATTGTTTGACTACTTTTTGATTCTTCGCCCCAAATTCGCCTGTTGGAGGACATGCCCGACCTAAGCTTTGTGCGTCGAGTGGGCCCGACGTTCGGGCACTCGGCAGCGACCACGACAGCTCTCGTCTTGATTGGAGGCGACAGTCTCGGTCGATCCTGGGTGTCGGACAGCGGAGAGCGTGCTGGCGCCGACGTCATCGCGAGGAGGTGCCCTATAGGGTGAGCGCGAGCGGCCGACGAGCAGGGGCCTGGGCTGGGCCTCTGTCTCCCACTCGGGCCCACGAAGCAGCCGATTCGCAGAACAGGGCTGGACCTAAACGGTGTTTTTGCGATTTCGTGGGCCGTTTTCGTTTCGACTTGGTTTTGCGGTAAAGGCGGATTGAAGACAAAACGAATGAATCGAAAACAAAACGAAAACGAAAAACACCGTTTAGGTTCAGCCCTGTCGCAGAAGTCGTGGGGCATGTTGTGCGAAGCGCCGCACCCAGGTCTGCCCCCCCCCCCCCCTTCGGACAACGGCAGGGCACGTGAAGGGCGCTTCTCCACAGGCGATCGGAACATTCCAGGTTTTTTTCCGTCGGTTCGTTCGAACATCCAGTTGTGGGCACTTGGGGGGGCTTGCCTGTTTGTTCGAATGTACAACATGTTGGGCTGCTTGGTTGCACGCTTGAGTCGATCCCGCGATTCACCGTAATATTTGACGTGTGTTTGCGAACGCTACCCAAACTGTAGGACACGCTCTCGTTGGTGTATCGTCCAATCCTCGATTCAGGTTGGCGCGGTTAATCAAGCTTCTTGGTGTCAGGTAAAGTTCGGATGAGTCCCCGATTCTGTCCAAGTTTTCGTCACATCGCCCGCGTCGTTATATGTAGTGTTCAGAACTTTTACATCTGACCATCTGTTTTCTGGACCTGGTTCGCGACTGCGGCCAGTGACCGATTCCGCGGACGGCTCCCGTGCAGCAGGGCCGACCAGCTCCGAGCTGAGGTCTCTGGGAGCACGCGGCCGCGCAGACGCGTAGCTCGTACTCAGCGCTCGCTCGTTCGTTCGCTTCCTTGGATCTCGTTCGGTATGTGCGCGCATGCACCGCCTCCTCTTCAGAGGACACCGGAAGTCTAGCCTTAAGTCGGGCATATCTTTCTACAGGAGGAGTGTTCCAAAATAGTCAGAAAATAGTCTGGGGACGATGTTTTGTCAACTTTCGGATATTTTTGAATATTACTTGACAATCTTTCATTACTCGTCCAAAATCCGCCTGTAGGGGGACACGCCCGACCCGAGTCTGGTGCAGCGCCGCCCAGAGAGTTCCCGCAGGCCCCGAGATGGGGCCGCGCACGTCCACAGGCTCAGACCCTCGACCTCGGATCCAGGGCAGACGGCCCACGCGCTTCCTCCGCGTCCACGGAGCGTCGGGTCGTACGGAGGGGGGGAGGGGGGAAATGGGAAGCCGGGTGCGGTCGCGCCATGCCCGACGTCTGGCCCCTCGCCCCCATCCCTTTGGCGTAGATCTCCTCTCTGTTCGCGCAAGCCTCCGCATCCACGGAGCGCCGGGTCGCACGACGGGGCGGCTGCGAAAAGGGGGGGGGGCGGGCACGACTTCTGCTGCGAGGCCGCGAGCTCCCGGCCCCGCCCTCTGGGCCCGCCCCCTCGAGGCGCCCGGAGGCACCGGAAGCGAGCCAGCCGCCGGCGCAGCGGCTGCGCGAGCTGGTTCGCTGTACAGTCATCGGCCGGACCTCAGGAACGAAGCCCTTCTTTCTCCAAGGAGCCACGCGTAAGGGGCGATCAGTACTACACCACGCACGGGGAACCATAGATGATGCCTAAGGGCCTGAGGAGCGACCGGGCCCCCTCTGCAAAGTACGTGCTCCTTGTTCAAGCCGCCCGCGATCGTGGGACCCGAGCCTCCCGCGGAAGGGGAGGGCGCGAGCGCGCTCTGGCGCCCGCGCGCCAGGGCAACGTGCTGGTGGTACTGACCAGGACGCAGATCAAGGCCTGGGCGCGCTCCGGGCTCCCCCCTCGCGCGCGCGGCACCCCCTGAGGCTGATGATGATGATGATGGTGATGATGCTGCTGATGCTGCTGATGCTGATGCTGATGCTGATGATGATGATGCTGCTGATGATGATGATGATGGTGATGATGCTGCTGATGCTGCTGATGCTGATGCTGATGCTGATGATGATGATGCTGATGATGATGATGCTGCTGATGATGCTGCTGATGATGATGATGATACTGATGCTGATGCTGATGCTGATGCTGCTGATGATGATGATGCTGATGCTGATGATGATGATGATGATGCTGATGATGCTGATACTGATGATGATGATGATGCTGATGATGATGATGATGATGATGCTGGTGATGATGACGATGCTGATGCTGATGCTGATGATGATGATGATGATGCTGCTGATGCTGATGATGATGACGATGACGATGCTGCTGCTGATGCTGATGATGATGATGATGATGGTGATCATGATGATGATGATGATGACGATGATGATGATGATGATGATGATGATGATGATGATGATGATGATGATGCTGATGATGATGATGATGATGATGCTGACGATGACGATGACGATGACGATGCTGATGCTGATGCTGCTGATGATGATGATGATGATGATGATGATGATGATGATGATGATGATGATGATGATGATGATGATGATGATGATGATGGAAGGAGGTCAGTCCCAAATCTCCGACGATGTGTCCCTTCTGGTGTTTGTCTTTTCAGGAGAGGCGTTTTGCCTCGATTTCGGTCTGGCGCCCGCGGGGCAGCGGTCTTGAGACTACCAGAAGGCGCTCGGGGACCATGCGCGCGCAGCGCGCCGCGGCGATGGAAGACCACGCGCGCGGCGCGCCGCGCGCGCAGCGCGCGCCCGCAGCCCAAACGCCGAAACGAGGACCGCTTTGGCTTCAGGAGGGGCTCCGGTTTTTCGGGCCGTGCTTCCGTTCTAAGTCGGGCGTGTCCCTCTACAGGAGGAGTATTAAATCATACTCGAAACATAGTCCGGGGAGGCGACTTTTCGATTCTTGGTTGGCTCGTCTTGAGTACTTTTTCATCATTTCTCTTGTTTCGTCCAACATCCGCCTGCAGAGGGACATGCCCGACCTAACCCAAACGCCGAAACGCCGAAACAAGAACCGCTTGGGCTTCAGGAGGGGCTCTGGTCTTGGGGGGCCGCGCCTTGGTTCTAGGTCGGGAATACTTACTCCGGGTTCCTTACTCAGCGTGGGGGGGTACCCCCCCGACGGGGGTCGACCTCGCCTCGTCGTCGCGCCGCGACGGGGTTCGGAGCGCCTTCGGCGCGCGGTGGCTGCCCGCGACGGGGGTCGATGTGGGGCTGTCGGCGGGGGTGACGCCCCCCCAACGCTCATTGAGAAACTCGGGGTATCCGTGGCCGAGGCTTGCCGTCGCCAGGAACGCCCAGCTCGGTCCCCGCTCGGCATTGCTCCTTGTGGCACGGTAGGTTCGCGCCGTGTGGGTGCGGCGGCGACCCGGGTTGCCGGCGTTCACGGTGGAACCCGCCAGTGGCCTGGATGCGGCCAATATAGGATGATTCGGCGATGGCGAATCCGCCGATCTTTCAAGTTTGAACTGTCCTCTCGGTGTCAGAAGCCATCGGACAAGCGTGGAGGCTGGTAGGGGCAGGGGGGAAGGCTTGCCACAAACACCCCTGCTTCTTAGAGGTCGCCGGCCTTGTCTGTAGATGCAAGGCCCGCGCCTTCAAAGACGCAGGCACCTTCTCGGAAGCCTTCCCCTCTCCCGCCCCTTTGCGCGCTGCCAAAACCATCGCCAGGGCCGTCACAACACGAACCTGTCGAGGAGGAGGAGGAGGAGGCGGAGGAGGAGGAGGAGCAGGAGGAGGAGGAGGAGGAGGAGGAGGAGGAGTAGGAGATCCGTAGCCATTTTGGCTCAAACCATTTTGACTCAAGCCATTTTGGCTCAAGCTTGTCTGGCACAGACGGCTTGGGGCGCCCGCCGCCCACGGGGACCACCGAAGTCAGCAGCAATGGGCGGCTGGTGGGCGTACCAGGCGCAGCTCGTGCAGCCCAAGAAGAGGCAGTACGTCGTCTGCAGCGCGTGCGAGGAATGGCAGTTTCTCAACAAAGCAAAGAAAAAGGTCTTTTGTCTCTGCGGGAAGCCGTTCGACATCCCAGGTTGACACACATGGCACCATGCAGGTCAGGGTGACGACAAAGGCAAGGGCAAAGACAAGGAGGGCGGCTTCGGGGACGTCAAGGAGATCCTCGCAGCCCTCCTCAGCACCCTCACCACCGAGCAGAAGAACGCCCTCGGAGACAAAGTGCAGAAGCTCGAAGGGATCTCCGCCCCCGAGCAGAAGAACCCCGCGATCTCGGCCACACAGGCACTCCAGAAGGTGCGCCAGTTAGAGAAGAAGCAGCTGGACCTCACCACCACGGTCGACCGCCTGGCTGCCGAGCTCAGGGCGGCGCAAGGCGAGCTGAAGGACACGACTACCGAGCTCAATGGGGGCCCGCGACACCTTCGAGAAGGCCAGCGTGGAGGCCACCGCGAAGTGGGCCAGTGGCGGGCACGACCCCGTCAAGGCCGACGAGCACCAGGATATGGGCGAGGACGATGAGGAGGAGATCGAGATCCCAGCCATGCCTGTGACCCCAGACGGCTTCAAGAAGCACGTGCAAGACGTGAAAGGCGACCGCGGGGACCCGGCCAAGGCATTCATTGAGCAGCTCACGGCAGCCTCCGCCAAGCTGCCTCCCGCAAAGCTCAAGGTCAAGAAGGCGAGGGCCAAGCAGGCCACCAGCACCGATCATCGTGGCCGCCCCGCAGCAGGCACACAAGGAACAGCCCGTCCTGGCCCTCGTGGTGATCGTAGGAGCCGCAGTTGTCCCAGGGAGAGGGGGGGGGGGGCTCGCGACAGCTGAGCAGGCCGCTCGGCCACCTCAGCGAGCTCCCCCCGAGCTCATGACAGAGTTTCACATCTACCACGCCAATATCATTAAGTGGAACGATAAAGCCAAGAAATATTTACAGTCTGCTGATTTTGGGCTTCCTCAGGTCATCACGTTAGGGGGGGCACATCTGACACCGGGGAAGCTGGGGGAAGCACGTAAATACATGGGTAAGCTTGGCTACAAGAGTTACCAGTGCCCTGCCACAGCCACACTAGCGGGCGGAGAGACAGGCGGAGCCGGGATTTTCGCCACCCGACAGTTTCACTACCATGCGCGGGTCATGATGGGGAAGGGCAACAAGAGGCCGCTGGTGGGGGGCACCAACTGGACCGCTTGTTTGATCCGCACGAAGGCCCGCAACCTAGTTTTGCTCACCGTCTACCTCCAGTCGGGGGTCGGCTACAACAATTTCAATATCAAGGTAGTGAAGGAGATTACCGTTTTCCTCACCTCCATGGACCTCCCGTACATCATCTCGTGAGATTTCAACGTGGCCCCCCAGGAGCTCCTGGCAGGCCACCCCTGGGTCGAGAAAATCCCAGGTATCGTCAGAACCGCGAACGTCGCGACCTCGTGTCGCAATGGTCGTCTCATCGGCTACTTCACCACCCACAGTTCGATCTCAGACTACCTGTCTGTCGAGACCCATTTAATCGGCCCATGGAGGCCACGCATCGGGCTCGTAGCAGTTTTCCGAGCGGAGGCACTCCATCGCCAGGGATGGTTCCTTAGGCGAGCCGCATCAGTCAAGTCATCAGCACCCCCAGCCTGTCCGTGGGCACATTATTGGCACCAGGCGCAGCTAGACCAGCGCGAGACGCCGCAGGTGCAGTTTCCTATCGCAGAAGTGTTCACCAGCAACACCCCCGCCCTCCAGTGCGGCCCCCTTAGTCGGGCCCTCGAGGGTTGATGTATCGGGGCCCCTGCAGGCGCCCAAGAATGTTACAGTCGCGGGGGCGGTTTCGAGGTCATCTGGAGAGACCCCCCCCCGCACTCCCTTCCAGCATCGGCTTCGTCATGCAAGTCATCAGTGGGGGGTGGTCCAGCAGCGGGCCCAAGAACGAGACCATCTTCTCCAACGCCATCCGGCCCCCAGAGCTGTCTCGAGGATTCAGGGGTACCTCGCCTTCACCCTCCAGGCGAACCCAGTGTGGCCGCCAGACCTTCTGCCAGCTTCGCAGACTCTGGTGCAGTCATATCTCGCAGGCACAAGTGCTACGACCTCGTGGACAGATGCGCGCTTTCAACTCGAGCTGATCGTTCAGCACTTTGATAAGGAAGCCTCGGTGCAGAAGGAGACTGCATTCAAGACCTGGCTACGCGACTCCCTCGCTCACGGGGGAGGCGGCGCGCGCCATATCACAAAGGTCCCTGGGCCCGCTCTAGAAGAGGACTGACGTTTTCAGCTCGGTCGACGGGGGGATTCTCACAGACCCCCTGAAGGTCCCGAACCACAGAAGCGAGCATTGGTTGCAGTACTGGGACCCAGATAAGATCTGCCCTGACAAGCCCCTCGAGGCCCCTTGGCTCCAAGACCTACGCCAGCAAGCAATGGGCTCTTGGGGCCCCTCTCACAGATGGAAGCCAGAACAAGTTCAGAAGGCCCTTAGGAGTTTCGCAGGCAACTCTGCACCAGGAGGGGACCAGTGGCGAGTAGCAGATTTCCGTCGGCTTCCCCCTGAAGGATTGGAGATCCTCACTGGCATTATCAATGATACGTGTAGGCTGCAGCAGTTTCCAGCCCAGTGCCTAGTCAACTCGGTGACCCTGAAACCCAAGACAGAGGTCAGCGACCGCCCCATCACCCCGACGGACGCCCCATGCCGTGTTACCATGCGCCTACTCAAGGGCCAGGTCTCCTCCTGGGAAGAGGCGCGGGCAGGTTTCTGGGACGCAGCTGTCGAAGGCAGTGATTGTTTAATGGCAGCCCTCATCAGCGAGCTTTTTGCAGAGATCAGCAGCTCTCTCAAGTGCTCCATCATCGAGGGCGCGTTAGACCTCAAAGTTTTTCGACGCGATCCGCCAGCGCAAGCTGGCTGAGAAGGCCCTCGCCCAAGGCTACCCAGTGGCCCCGCTGGCGCTGGGCATGATTATCCACACGTGTACTAGAGCCCTCACGACACCGATCGGAGTCAGCGAGCCCCTCATCCCGATGGCCTCAATTCTCCAAGGGTGCGGACAAAGCGTTTCCTGGACCAGGGCCCTCCTGTACGACGTCCTCGAGTTGGCCCATCACCAGATCCCAGGGCCCACGATCCGAACCTGGGTTGACGACATCAGGGTCCGTCTCTTGGGGAGCCCAGAGGCCCTGAAAGAAGCCTTCCCAGAGCTTATCATGCAGTTATGTGGAGGACTCGCTGACCTAGGATGCCGTCTCTCTGGTAAGTCTGTGGGTCCTGGCCAGCTCCAACGACATCCGCACCGCGGTCGTCAATAAACTCAATCAAGCCGGGGTCCAGATCCGACCCGTCCAGCATGCTCGGGACCTGGGGGTCGACACCACGATCGGGAAGAAAACGGTCCTAGGAGTCCGCCGAACCCGTCGTCGTCTCGGAGTGCAAATACACAAGACGATCAATAAGCTGGCCAAGACTACAGCCAAGGCGCGATCCCTTTTCCGCACAGGCGCCCTACCGCAGCTGAAGTGGGGCATGGAGGGGCACGGATCAGCACCGACCGAAGTCCAGTATTTCCGCCGGTTGGCGGGAGCGACACATGGAGTATCTAAAGCAGAGGCCTGCCTCACCACTGGCCTCCACACCCGTCCAGGACACCCATCTAACATGGATCCAGGGATCTATCTTCGGGCCCAGCTGTTCACGATGTGGTTTCGGGTTATCAATGCCGAACCCAGCATCCTCGGAGGCATCCAGAAGGCTTGGGAGACTCTGAGGGAGAAGCCCAAGAGACCACCAAGGTGGCTCATGGTCAGGTCCCACCTGTCCGCGATCATCGCCACCCTGTACGACCTTGGCTGGACCCCAACCTCGGCATGGCTCTGGAGGGGCCCCGAGGGCCTAGAGTTCCCCGTCAAGCCGCTGAGCTGGGACAAGCAGAAGGTTGTCATGTTTCACTTGGAGTTCCTCTTGAACATGCATGTCTGGAAAGCGACATACCCCCTCAGCCACAACTCTGGAGGCCTTCAGGAGGGGGGGGGGGGGGGGGCGTGTACTCTCTACGGCTCTACCCTGCCAGAAATCGAGCCGCCATCAAGAGGCGCGAGAAGCAGCTCGCCGAGTACCCCCTCCCCCAAGCCCAACAAGTTCAGGCCCAGGAGGAACTCCAGCGAGAAGCAATTTTCCCATCAGCTTTAGGGGCCGTTTCCTGCTCGAGGTGCTGGAGCGCCCACCGCAGGTTTGAGAGCGGCCAGCAGGACGATGCCGAATGTCCTCTCTGTGGCCAAGAGCACGGAGATGATTTACACACATATTGGACGTGTCCTGAATTGGGAAGTCTCAACATCCCCGCCATCAATCGGACCCAGGGCTCCATTGATCGGGCAGTGGCCGAGTCCCCAATGGACCCCGGTCTCTGGCTCCGAGGAATCATCCCTGCCACGATCCTACGTCAAGTCCATGGGCACATTCTGGGACTAGATCAGGACACGATCCGAAAAGGAGTATTTGAACAGCATGCAGTCTATCAGTTCGGTGACTGGCAGGTGGCAGCGACAGACGGCAGTGGAGGGCCTCACACGCGGGACCCGCGCATCAGACTCTGTGGCTGGAGCGTATCTTTGTGGGCACACGACCTCACTTGGAAAGGAACCATCCAGGGAGGGATCATCGGCCTGCAGACCGTGCCGCTGGCGGAGCTCGAGGCAGTCATTGCGTTGCTGGAGTCCACCCGCGGCCGCCTCATTATCGTGATTGACTGTGCGTGTGTGATCAAGGGCTCCAACAGAGGCCCACGCTTTCGGCACCCCAAGAACCAGTTCACTTGGCAGAAGTTCTGGACCCAGGCCAACAACCGACGGGACAGTACGATCTTCTACAAAGTGAAAAGCCATCCCACTGAAGAAGAAGAAGAAGCCGCTCGAGAGCCTCCCTGGGCCCTACACCTCAATGCCCACGCAGACATACTCGCTGCGGAAGCAGCCCAGCGGCGTCAAGTTCCAGGGCCCCTCGCTCGGCACCTCCAAGGCGCTGGTATTCACGCCGGTCTCATCAGGGATAGATTGGCAGCGGTTCAGAGTCACTACTGGAGCCACAAAGACCCCTTGGGCCTCGAGGAGGATAAGGATGTCAAGGGGAACCGTAGGAAAGTGAAGGTGGAGCGTAGCGTAGCAGCCTTGCAGGTTGAGCTGACTAGGACGCCCCACTCCCTCCTTTCTGCCCCTGTCCCTCCCCTTTCCCAGATCGCCTGCCATGTCTGTGGCAAGCAAGGTAGTGTTGCCAGGAGAACTCCCAGGTGGCTTAAGACCCCCTGCGTCTCCCTAGGACCGCAAAACCGTTTTCACCCGTCCCACGGACCGTTCATCAAGAAGTTGAATGGTGTCATTTGGTGCTCCCGATGCGGAGCCTGGACCATCCGCGCGGCCAAGAAATTCAGAGTGCCCTGTGCACCGCCCACAGAAGGGGGCACCAAGGCTCTCCAGAAGCTCACCCAAGGTGAGCCACCGCCAGGCCTCAAAGCCTGGCCCAATGGGCCCGCATTAGGTCCACCCACGGCTGCTCCCACGCGGGGGGGCCAGGACAGCTGTGGAGGCGCAAGCGCGGAGGAGGAGTAGAGGAGGAGGAGGAGAGGAGGAGGAGGAGGAGGAGGAGGAGGTGGAGGGAGAAAGAGGAGGGCGGAGAGGAGGAGGAGGAGAGAGGAGGAGGAGGAGGAGGAGGAGGAGAGGATGGGAGGAGGAGGAGGGGGGGGGGAAGGGGGGGGGAGGAGGAGAGGAGTGAGGAGGAGGAGGAGGAAGAGGAGGACGTGGAGGAGGAGGAGGAGGAGGAGGTGGAGGAGGAGGAGGAGGAGCGGAGGAGGAGGGAGGAGGAGGGAGGGCGGAGGGAGGAGGGCGGGAGGGAGGAGGGAGGGAGGGAGGTAGGGGTGGATGGAGGATGGAGGAGGGGGTGGGGGGGGAGGGAGGGGGAGGGGGGAGGAGGGAGGAGGGGTAGAGGGGGAGGGAGGAGGCGGAGGGAGGAGGGAGGTAGGAGCGAGGGAGGAGGGGCGGAGGGAGAGGAGGGAGGAGGGAGGAGGGAGGAGGGAGGAGGGGGGAGGGGGGAGGAGGAAGGAGGAGGGAGGAGGAGGGAGGAGGAGGGAGGGAGGGGGGAAGGGGAGGGGGAAGGGGGGGGGGGGGAGGAGGAGGGAGGAGGGCGGAGGGGAGGAGGGGGGAGGGCGGAGGAGGAGGGAGGAGGGGAGGAGGGGGGAGGGAGGAGGGAGGAGGGAGGAGGGAGGAGGGAGGAGGGAGTAGGGAGGAGGGAGGAGGGGGGAGGGAGGAGGGAGGACGGAGGACGGGAGGAGGAGTAGGGAGGAGGGAGGAGGAAGGAGGGAGGAGGGAGGAGTGAGGAGGGAAGGAGGGAGGAGGGAGGAGGGAGGAGGGAGGAGGGAGGAGGGGAGGAGGAAGGCGGATGATGAGGCGGAGGAGGGAGGAGGAGGAGGAGGTGGGAGGGGGATGGGGAGGGGGAGGGGGAGGGGGAGGGGGGGAGTGGGAGGGGGAGGAGGGGGAGGAGGAGGAGGAGGAGGAGGAGGAGGAGGAGGAGGATAACGAAGAGGAATAAGAATATACGAGTAATAAAAATAATAGTAATAACAATACTACTCATACATATTATTAAGAATGATAACAGTAATAATGCGATTAGTTATAATCATAATACTAATACCAATAATACTACGAAGAAGAATACTACTAAGACTCATGCTAAGACGAAGACGAATAATACTATGAAGAAGAAGAATATTAGTAACAGTAAAAATAATACGACGAATCATAAGACGCATTCTAAGAAGACTAATACGAAGACTAAAATTAATAAGACGCATAATAATAATATTCATAACAATATTAATAATAATACTAATAATAATAATGGTAATACTAATAATAATAACACCAATAATAATAATATTACCAATGATAACAACACTACTAATAATGATACTACTACTAATACTAATACCAATAATATTTTTATTATGAATAATATTAATATTGATTCTAATGATAATAATGATAATAATATCAGTATTAATAATACTAGTACTAATACTAATCTTAATAATAATAATACTAATACTAATAATGCGAATAATACTACTAGTCATACGACTAATACTAATAATGGTAATAATAGTATTAATAATAATAATATTATTATTATTAATAATAATAATACTAATTCTAATGATAATAATAATAGTAATAATACTAATAATACTGGTACGGCGAATAATAATATGAATACGATCAGTAATAATAATACTAGTAATAATACGAAGAAGAAAAAACTACCATTAATACTAATAGGAATAATATAAATAAGACTACTAAGAAGAATAATAATACGAAGAAGAAGAAGAGGAATATGAGGAGGAGGAGGAGGAGGAGGAGGAGGAGGAGGCGGAGGTGGAGGAGACGGATGAGGAGGAGGCGGAGGAGGAGGGGGAGGAGGACGGAGCGAGGAGGAGGAGTGGGGGGGCTGAGGAGCAGGAGGAGGAGGAGGGGAGGAGGAAGAGGAGAGGGGGAGGAGGAGGAAGAGGAGAGGAGAAGGAGGAGGAGAGGGGAAGGGTAGGAGAGGAGCAGGAGGAAGAGGAGAGGAGGAGGCGGCGGACGGCGGAGGAGGAGGAGGACGAGGAGGAGGAGGGGCGATGAGGAGGAGGAGGAGGCAGCGGAGACGGAGGAGAGGGGGACAGGAGGAGGAGGAGGCAGGAGGAGGAGGAGGAGGAAGGAGGAGGAGGCGGAGGAGGAGGAGGAGGGTGACGAACCTGCCGCAGCGCGTCGGCTGCGTGCGCGGAGGCCGAGGCCGAGCTCTTCGACGCCCAGCTGCTGCACTCCCTCTCCGCGCAGGGCGACCAGCCCACCATCGGGGCCCTCTCGGCGGCTGGCCGCGTGCTGACGTGGGCCGCCCGGCGCCGGCGCCGCCGTCCCCGCCGCTGGCGCCGTCGGCGGCGGCGGCGACAAAGGCGGCGTCCTTTGGAGATTTTCTCCGAAAGGCTTAGGCGACCCGTTCAGTTCTCCTCCTCCTCCTCCTCCTCCTACCTCCTCCTCCTCCACCTCCTCCTGCCTCACCTACCCCTCCCCCCCTCCTCATAATCCTCCTCCTCGGGTCGCCTACGGCCTGGGGAAACCGTGCACGTCCTTCCCTGGGCGTGGTGCGTCATCTTGGAGGCTTCCTGGCGGCGTCTCGCGGCCACGGCTGGCTCCGCGCCGAAGGGCGGGCCCCTGGGAGGGGTCCGCGGGCGCAGTCTGTGCGGAGCCCAGGCGGGAGGGCCGCTGCTGTCCCGAGTGGCCCTCCTCCGAAGAGGGGGGTTGTCGGGCGGGGCCGGGACGAGGATTGATCTCAGAGAGGTTCTCGATGCATCCCCACCCGACGTCGTCCTCGTCCCGGTTTCGTTTCAGGGTGGCAGCGGTCGGACGGGGCTCGGAGGCCCCCAGACGGTGTGGTGACCACACCGTGTGGTGAGTCGGTGGGGATTCGGGGTCGCCGCGCGGTTTTGTGACTCGAGCCCCTCTCCGAGGATGTGTCGGGCGAGAGGGGCTTCAAGGGTCCCAAGACCGTGCGGTGACGGACCGTGCGGCGAGGTCTCTTGGTGTTTCGAGGTCACCGCACGGTCTGTCACCACACGGTTTTGGGGGATCCCCAGCCACGGTGTCGTCCTCCTCGCACTCCTCCCAGAGGGCTGCCCTGCGCCGGGGCGCGGCCTCTGCTGCCGAGCCACTGGCCACCGCCGAGGCAATGGCCGCGTGCCGCGGTGGAGAATTCGTCCTCCTCTTCCTGCTGCTCCTTCTCCTCCTCCTCGTCCTCCTCCTCCTCCTCCTTCTCCTCCTTCTCCTCCTCCTCTTCCTTCTCCTGCGTCTCCTGCGTCTCCGGCGTCTCCGGCGTCTCCTCCTCCTCCTTCTCCTCCTCCTACTCCTCCTTCTCCTCCCTCTTTTCCTCCTTCTCCTCCTCCTCATTTTCCTCCTCCTCCTCCTCCTGCTGCTGCTCCTCCTTCTCTTCCCTTACTTCGTCCTCCTCCTCCTCCTCATTCTCCTCCTCCTCCTTCTGCTGCTCCTTCTCCTTCTCCTCCTCCCTCTCCTCCTCTTCCTCCTCCTCCTCCTCCTCCTTCTCTTACTCTTCCTCCTCCTCCTCCTCCTCCTCTTCCTCTTCCTCCTCCTTCTTCCTGCTCCTCCTCCACCCCCAAGACCACTCAGGACCCCCCTGGGGCATCGCAGAGTCCTCCAGTGCAACATCGCAGCGCATTTCAGAGCATCTGTTCCCTCTCCTCATCCTCCTCCCCCTCGGTCCTCGCTCTTCGTTCCCCCTTCACTATTCGTGTGCGCACTTGCCAGCTTGTGCACCAGCGCAAAACAGCCCTGCGGAGGCCTCCGTAGGGCCCAGGAGTACCAGCAATGTTTAAACAAGCCTACTCCAAGTTTCTTAATAAGCGTCGGGGGGGCGTCACCCCCGCCGACAGCTTTCCATCGACCCCCATCGCGGGCAGCCACCACGCGCCGAAGGCGCTCCGACCCCCGTTGCGGCGCGACGACGAGGCGAGCTTGACCCCCGTCGGGGAAGTACCCCCCGCACGGTTATGAAGAAACCCAGAATAAGTATTCCCATCCACACTTTCCCCTGTCCTCCACTCCTGCTTCTGCTGGTGCGCAAGGGCATTCCACCAGTCCCTGACGCTCCACGTGACGCTTCTGAGTGTAGGAGTTGTGTGCGTTTGCGCAGGGCCCAGCATTGCGAGGTGCATAGCATCCTGGAGTCAGGGCGGTGTTCAGTGGAGTCAGAACCCAACTGCCTGTCCTCCACACTAACCATCGTCTTCCAGTCTCCCCAGTTCGCCTTGGATTGGGGCGTCCATTTGCTTCACTCCGCTGGTTGTCTTCTCACCGATCAACTTTCGAGGACGGCCTGACATGACCGTCCTCCTGTCCTCGACCCCCTCGTCCTCCTCACCCCTCGTCCAATCCCTCGTGCCCTCCGCACGTCCCTCCCTCACTCCTCCTTTATTCTCTCGCACAGGGTGTCTAGAGCTCCGACCACTTTATTTCGGCGTCGTCGTCGCTCCCCCCAGCTGCCTTGTGCCCTTCATGTGTCGCTATATGTGTCGCTGTGTGCCTTGTGCCCTTCATGTGCCGCTAATATGTGTCGCTGTGTGTCGCTATGCGTCTCCATGTGTGCGTCGCTATGTGTCGCTGTGTGTCGCTATGCGTCGATATGTGTGCATGTGTGTGTCGATATATGTCTCTATATGTCGATATGTGTCGACATGTGTCACTATGTGTCGCTCCCCAGCACCCCAGCGCACCGCCCCCTCCGCCCCGACGACTTTATTTCGGCGTCGTCGTCGCCCCCCCCCCCTCTCCCTCTCCTCAGCAGCCCAGCGCGCTGCCCCCTCCGCCCCGACCACTTTATTTCGGCGTTGTGTCGACATGTGTCGCTATGTGTCGCTCCCCAGCACCCCAGCGCACCGCCCCCTCCGCCCCGACGACTTTATTTCGGCGTCGTCGTCGCCCCCCCCCCCCCCTCCCTCTCCCTCTCCTCAGCAGCCCAGCGCGCTGCCCCCTCCGCCCCGACCACTTTATTTCGGCGTTGTGTCGACATGTGTCGCTATGTGTCGCTCCCCAGCACCCCAGCGCACCGCCCCCTCCGCCCCGACGACTTTATTTCGGCGTCGTCGTCGCCCCCCCCCCCCTCTCCCTCTCCTCAGCAGCTCAGCGCGCTGCCCCCTCCGCCCCGACCACTTTATTTCGGCGTCGTCGTCGCCCCCCCCGGTCCTTTTCCCCTCCTTCCCCAGCTAGCCCAGCGCACCGCCATTCCGGTCCGCCCCGACCCAATTGATTTCGGCGTCTCGTCGCCTTTTTGGCGTTGTGTCGACATGTGTCGCTTTCCCACAGCCAGCGCACCCGCCCTCTCCGCCCCGAACCACTAATTTCGGGTCGTCGTCGCCCTACCCCCGGTACCTTTCCCCAGCAGCCCAGCGCACCGCCCTCTCCGCCCCGACCGCTTTATTTCGGCGTCGTCGTCGCCCTATTTCGGCGTTGTGTCGACATGTGTCGCTATGTGTCGCTCCCAGCACCCCAGCGCACCGCCCCCTCCGCCCCGAGGACTTTATTTCGGCGTCGTCGTCGCACCCCCCCTCTCCCTCTCCTCAGCAGCCCAGCGCGCTGCCCCCTCCGCCCCGACCATTTTATTTCGGCGTCGTCGTCGCCCCCCCGTGGCTTTTTCCCCCAGCAGCCCAGCGCGCCGCCTCTCCGCCCCGACCATTTATTTCGGCGTCGTCGTCGCACCCCCCCGACTCCCCCTCTCCGAGCAGCCCCGCGCGCCGCCCCTCCCTTCGCCCCGACCACTTTGTTTCGGCGTCGTCGTCGCCCCCCCCCCCCTTCTCCCCAGCAGCCCAGCCCAGCGCACCGCCCCCTCCGCCCCGACCACTTTATTCTCTTGCGCAGGGTGTCTAGAGCTCCGACCATTTTATTTCGCGTCGCTCCCCCCCCCCCCGCGTCCTCAGCGCCAGAGTGGGGCACCCGCGCCGTGGCTCTCTGCCCCAAGCCCCCCCGCGTCCCCAGCGCCCCAGCGGGGGCCCCGCCCACTGCCCCCTCCGCCACGAACGCTTTATCCCGCGTCGCCCCCCCCGCCCCCCCGCGTCCCCAGCGCCAGTGTGAGGCCCACGCGCCGTGGCTTTCTGCCCCGAGCCCACCGCGTCCCCAGCGCCCCAGCGGGGGCCCCGCCCACTGCCCCCTCCGCCACGAACGGTTTCTCCCGCGTCGCAGCTCCCCCCCCTCCCCCGCGTCTCCAGCGCCAGTGTGGGACCCCCGCGCCGTGGCTCTCCGCCCCAAGCCCCGCCGCGTCCCCAGCGCCCCAGCGGGGCCCCCGCCCACTGCCCCCTCCGACACGAACGCTGTATTACGCGTCGCACCCCCCCCTCCGCGTCCCCAGCGCCAGAGTGGGACCCCCGCGCCGTGGTTCTCTGCCCCGAGCCCCCCCGCGTCCCCAGCGCCCCAGCGGGGGCCCCGCCCACTGCCCCTTCCGCCACTAACGCTTCATCCCGCGTCGCGCCGCACACCACCTCCCCCACCTCCCTCCCCGCGTCCCCAGCGCCCCAGTGGGGACTCCGCCCCGTGCCCCCTCCGCCCCGACAATTTTACTCCGCGTCGCGACGCACGCCACCTCCCCCCCTTCCCCCCCTTTCCCCAGCGCCCCAGTTGGACCCCCGCCCCGTGGCCCTCTGGCCCAAGCCCCGCCCAGTGCCCCCTCCGCCCCGACAGTTTATTCCGCGTCGCGGCACACACCACCCCCCCTCCTCTCCGCCCCAGTGGGACCTCCGCCCCGTGCTCCTTCCGCTCCGAGCACTTTATTCCGCGTCGCGACGCACGCCACCTCCCCCACCCTCCCCACCTGGGACTTGGGCCCCGTTACTGGGCCCAGAGGGCGATGCCTTGCCCCCTCTTCCCCCCTCCTCCACCTCCTCCTCCTCCTCCTCCTCCTCCTCCTCCTCCTCCTCCCCCTTCCTTTTTGTGCAAGGGCTATGGCACACGTGCCACTTGTTCCCCTCCGCCTCCTCCCTCCTCACTCACCCCATCGTCCTCTTCCAGAGACCTGCAAGTCCTGCCCCCTAGTCTCCTCCTCTTCTTCCCCCATCCTTTCTGGCTGTCGAGCAGGCGCCATGCTTCTGAGCGCATGCGCCGTTGCGCTCCGCCGCCGGATCCCCGAAGCCTGTGCTGCGCGGCGACGGAAGAGGAGAAAAGGGAAAGAGAAGTGGTGTTTTCTTTTTCCATCGCCACCACCAGAAGTAGGAAGGAGAGGGGGTCCTCTTCCTCCTCCTCCTCCTCCTCATCGTCCACCTTCTCCTCCAAGTTATGTTGGTGGTGGTGGTGATGGACAACAGGCCTATCAAGAAGCAAACAGACGACGGACAACGCACAGGCGGGAGGCCAGGACCAGCGGGTCGAAGCGTCCCCAACGGACGCGCTGTGGACAAAGGCTGCCCAGACTTCCGACGTCGTGTCTTTTGCGTGACGTGCACCCCCAGCGGTCTCGTCCTCATCCTGAGCAGTTTCTTGGCGGTCCCTGGTCGGGAGAGTGACCCCTAGAGCCCGGGAACGGCAACAAATCTTCCGTGGTGATTTTCTCATGACCGATAGGGGGTATGGCCAGCACGGTCCTGGAAGGCCTGCGTGCTTCTTCCGACAAGATTTGCCCTCGCGCGTCTTCGTCGCAGATGCGCGACCCGCGTCGCCGCTGGGCCCCAGGCAGTCCGTGCGCCCAGGCCACGGAGACCAGGCAGGCATAGGAGCAGGAGCTTCGAACATATACGTACAGACATACATACGTAATAGGCGCACGTATGTGTATGCATGTCTGCATGTGTCTGCGCACACCTATGTGTAGATGCATACACATATTTGCATATATTTCTAGATATGTGTAGATATAGAAAAGACGCTCGAACGAGCGGGGATCACGATATTGGATGGAGGTCCAGGGAGGAAGATGGCGAAGAAGATGAACATCGAACGCCCCAGGGAGCTCCAGATCTCTCAGGGCGTCGCCCAGCACCCTGGAGCGGCCGCGGCGCCCCAGAAATCCTCTGGGCCCGCCGTCTCTCGGAGATCCCCGACTGAGCCTCACCCGGCTGTATCCGCACATTGCCTGCGCTTGATGGGGGCAGAGGACAAGTCGGGCGTGTCCCTCTGCAGGAGCAACCTCCCAAAATAGTTCAAACAGTCTGGGGACGATTTTGACAGTATATTTGAACCATGTTTGAATATGTTTGGACAATTTTCCATTTTTCGTCGAAGATCTCTGTAGGAGGACGTGCCCGACTTAAGGCAGAGTGAGCAACCCGTTACTTACAGTCGGCCCGGATTTGTGCTCTCTCGCGTGTTCTCTCCAATCAAGTCCGGCTGTATCGACCAGACAGCAAGCGGCCCCACCCTGCCTATGGCCCTCCATGCGGCCGTGCGGCCCCTCGGGCGCCTGCGGCCTCTCGGGCGCAGAAGCCCGAGCCGGAGCTCGTTGTATACGCTGAGCCCTGTGGGGCCGCAGGTGGGGTGGTGTCGCTCGTCTTTTGGGCCACGTCAGGATGCAGTTTCCGAGTCAGCATCTACATCGGCACTTGCGTTACCATCTCAGTCGCCAAGGCGTTGTGAGTTGTATCTGGCGTTGCTGGCTGATCTTTTCTCCCGTGGGATGCTAAAGCGCTTCGTGGAAACTCGTGAGCGTGTGATATATTACGGCGGGCGCGGCAGACAACGGAAACAGAACGAAAACAACCAATACATAAGAATACCACAAAAGTCAGGATGCAATTCGGGGGAGTTAAGCTCAGCATCGGCGCTGGTATATCCGTGGTCGATGACCGGCATACTATGGCATAGTCCCATTTAATCCTGCCCAGTCCGGCTGAATCCCATTCATCCTGGCTCGATCGGGCTCAATCCAAGGCTGAATCCAGCCCTGTCCGGCTCAATGGCCGCTTGATCTGCCTCCAGATTTCCCAGAAGTTGCCTCCTGAAACAGGGGAAGACAGCACGCAGGCGACGGTCGCCCGCCCGCCCCCACAGTGTAGCACGTGTCGAAAGCGGGAAGGGGGGGGGTCTATCGTCATATCCTTCTTTGTGGAGGTCAAAGCCGCCATCCTTCTGGCTCTGAAGCCTCCCTTCGAGCGCGCGCAGTTAGGTCAGCGTAGACCGGGCAGCAGGTTCAGGGAGACACAGTATCCACGACACGTTAGAGTGATCCTTCGCCGGAGTGACCTTTGGTGCGGGCTCATCGGGGCCCCCCCGATCGCTGAGCGCGACGCGATAGCGGCTGATTGCGCGCTGAGCGATAGTGCGCGCACCGAAGGTCACTCTTGCCCAGGGTCACTCTTGCGTGTAGCCGAAAGCAGAACATGTCACTTCCCGCCCCGCCCTGCGCGCGGAGGTGGGACTCGGCGCCGTCGCACGCGCAGCGGCAGCAGTTGCGGTCGCTGGCGGCAAGAGCGTGCCCCCCTGCGCTCTCGCGGGCCCCCCGCGCGCGCCCGATGCTCGCCGGCGACAGAACAAGGTTGTGAGCGTGTCGTTTGAGACTGGCATTAAGTCGGGCCTGTCACTCTACAGGAGAAAGATTAAAAAATTGTAAAAACATAGTGAGGGGAAGATGTTTCAACTATTGTTGGTCTTTTTGCGGGTATTTTTGGACTATTTGTAAAGTTGCGTCCACAATCCGCCTGTAGGGGGACGTGCCCGACCTAAGACTGGCAAGCTTTTCCAGACCGTCCTGTGGTGTTGGGTCCTCGTTTTTTGAAGAGGCAGCGCTCCGCGTCCTTACTCCTCCCGCTGCCCTCCTCCCAGCGTCCTCGCAAGCGGTGCTCCGCCCCTGTCAGCACACCCCTCACACGTCTCGGTGCCCCACAGGGAGTTCCGCCTGATGCCCCAGTGGCTGCGCTCGCATGCGGTGCCCCGCATATTATATTTTGGCACACTTCTCACACGTTTCGAGGCCCCAGTTTCGGCGTCATGTGTGATGATTCCATGTTTTCTGGTTCCACTTTTTCCGCAATAGCGGTTCACGAAAGGGTGTTATCATAATGAAGCCAAACGGACCGCAGAAGAGTCCCACAGGCGGGACGGGGAGACTGAGAATGCCGGTGCCGGTAGCCGTTTCGTTGGAGTTTTCCGCACGATGTATTCAGGAGGCGTGCTCTCGCCTCAATGCCGGCTACATCTTTGATCCAGACGGCCACGACCTCATGTAGAGCACGCTGTTCGTGCACGCGACCGTGCTCTCACCCCTGTCACGCGGCCGCTACCTCCGTAATGCACAGGTAACTGCGGTGCACACGGCCGTGCGCTAACTCCTGCCGCACGGCCACGATTTGCTGCAACGTGTGAGGTCTGGGCCACGTGGCCGTGATCTCACCCACGTCACACGGGCACGATCCCCGCGCACATGGCCATGCGCTCACCCGTGTCACACGGTCACGATTCTCTCGTAGAGCACATGCGACGGTGGACATGGCCGTGTTCTCACTCCCGTCACGCCCAGGAATCCGGAGGAATTCATAGGAATGCACGTTTCTGCTGGCCGACCTACTCTTTCGCCCCGCCTCTTCACCTTTGCTGATCTGAGGGTCCTTTGGTGGGGTAATTTGGCCCCACCGAATAATTCATGGTGTCCCAATTTTCGTCGTTCCTTTTTTCTCGCCCCCCATCCTCGAAGGAGAAGAATGTTCCGATACCGCTACCGTTGTCTCGTTTCCCTTTTGTGGGTCTCCTTGGAGGCCTTAGTCGCCACCGCTGGATTCGCTTTCATTTTTTTCGCAGAAAGCATCCCAGGGGAGGTCTGCGAAGTGGCAGTATCGATATCCTTTGGATTCCCCCCATTCCCGAGCTGCTCCAGCAACCACTTGCCGTTTGCATAATGTGTAAGCTTTCGGAGTTCCGCGCGCATTTCTTGGATCGGCGCCTAAGCCTCTCTGGCGGCGCCTCCAGCGCCGCTTCTGGCGCGCTCTGTGCGCCAGGGAGGGAGACCCGGCGCGGATCCGCGAAATCCGCGCAGACCTTTGCCAGTCGTGTTATATTCAAGCCGGGCCTGTAGGTATATGTAAACATAAAACAAGGTCTGGGGATCATTTTTTGACTAGCTCTGAACATTTTGGGAGTATTTTTTTTGGTATTTCTATCTTTTCGTCCACAATCCCCCTGTAGGGGGACAGGCCTGACCTAAGTTTCTATGCTGGCCTTCTCCTCGATCGCAGGAGGGGAGCTCGGGGCTTTTTTCTCCCCCGGGGGGGGGGGCTCTTCGGGCGCAGGCCACTGGGAAGGACGGACGCCCCGCCCATCGTACATATATATATATATATATATAAATGTAGTATATATACATATATATACACATAAATATTCAAGAGAGGGGCAATATCACAATGAATCAGGATACACATAAATACACACATATACAATGGAATACATACTCATCAAATAATACTCATCAGAGGGGCATACATACTCATAAATATAAAATACACACAGACACAATGAATCGTCGATTCCCCAGGAAGATCTGCGAAACTGTGGGAAGTGGGGGGGAAGATCCCCCTCAAATACAGGAACATGTGGGGAATCCGGTTATTTGCCTTGTATTTATGTGTGTGTGCCAGGGCCCCTTCAATCGTATATCTCCCAGAGTTGATCCCCAATTTGTTTTGGTCTATCGAACATCCCACTCGGCCGGGGACTGAACCTCTGACCAGATCCGTGGAAGCTTCGATCTGGGCCTCCCAAACTGGGGGGCGAGCAGATGGGGTCGGAGCATCGCGCCGCATCGCCGATGCACTTCCCATGCGGCTCGATGTGGAGCCCGATTCTCTCCACGCCGTCGGCGACGATGCATCGCCGACTTCACTGATGCATCGGCGATACATCGGCGATGCGGCGAGATCCTCCGACACCTTCTACTCGGACCTGATTTATGAGGCCTCTGCTTGAGGATCGAGGCTCGATGGACGCCCTCAGGGCCGCCGCGGCCCGGTGCCCTCCGAAGTGCGGGTCCAGACGCACCCCGAGGTAGTATGCTTCCCAGATGGGCTCGGAGTAGATGTGGTCAGAATGGGTCAGAGGATCGCGCCGCATCGCCGATGCATCGGCGATGCGGTTCGATGTGGAGCCCGATTCTCTCCACGCCGACGTCGCCGATGCATCGCTGACCGATGCATCGGCGATGCAGTGGCGATTCGGCACGATGCTCCAATCCCATACACTCGGACACCATTCGGGAGGCCTCTATTGGTACGGGCTCACAGCTGTCCCCCCAGCATTGGCTGGCGCGCTTGGCTCTGGCCTCGCCTCTTAGTGCCGCGCGCCAGAGGGCACTCTTGCCTAGGGCCACCCTTGCGTGAGGCGACGCATCGACGATGCGGCGCGATCCTCCGACCATATCTAATCGGACCCCATTCGGGAGGCCTCCTGATGAAGAGTACGGTGACATGCGCGTTGGATTGTGCGTGCTGTTCATCCGCTAGTCTTTCGTATACAACACCCCCGTGCTTCTTCAACAACAGCATGCTGATTGGGCTCCGCCCCAGTGACGCGACATTGATGCTGTTGTCTGTGCTCTCCGAGAGGTACCTCCGCGTGCCTTCTTCTAGGGCTCGCGCGTACTCGGTCGAGCGCGCCCCACACTTTAATGTCCCGCCCGCCCGATCCGACCCGCCCGCAAGGGTCCGCCCGCCCGACCCGACCCGCCCGTTCGGGTTAGGGTCTGCCCGCCCGACCCGACCCGCCTGTTATGGTCCTCCCGCCCGACCCGACCCGACCCGCCCGCAAGGGTCCGCCCGCCCGACCCGACCCGCCCGTTCGGGTTCGTGCGTGCTCGGTCGAGCGCGCCCCACTCTTTAATATCCCGCCCGCCCATCCCGACCCGCCCGTTAGGGTCCGCCCGCCCGACCCCACCCGCCCAGTAGGGTCCGCCTGCCCGACCCGGCCCGCCGTTAGGGTTCGCGCGTGCTCGGTCGAGCGCACCTTTCGAAGGGTTGCCCTCCCAACCCGACCCGCCCGTTAGGGTCCGCCCGCCCGACCCGATCCGACCCGACCCGCCCGTTAAGGGTCGCCCGCCCGACCCGACCCGCCCGTTAAGGTTCGCGCGTGCTCGGTCGAGCGCGCCCACACTTTAATGTCCCGCCCGCCCGCCCGACCCGACCCGACCGTCAGGGTTCGCCCGCCCGACCTGACCCGACCCGCCTGGTACGGCCCGCCCCCCAGCCTGACCCGCCCTTACGTATCGTGCGCGCTCGGTCGAGCGCGCCCCACACTTTAATGTCGCGCCCGCCCGACCCGACCCGCCCGTTATGGCCGCCCCCCTGACCCGACCCGACCCGCCCGCTAGGATCCGCCCGCCCGACCCGGCCCGCCGTTAGGGCTCGCGCGTGCTCGGTCGACCTCGCCCCACACTTTAATATCCCGCCCGCCCGACCCGACCCGCCCGTTAGGGTCCGCCCGCCCGACCCGATCCGACCCGACCCGCCCGACCCGACCCGCCCGTTAAGGTTCGCGCGTGCTCGGTCGAGCGCGCCCCACACTTTAATGTCCCGCCCGCCCAACCCGCCCCGCCCCGCCCGTTACGGCTCGCGTCGGCGAAACCACCGCCGGCGAAACCAGCGCTGGCGAAACCAGCCGCCTGCGAAACCAGCGGGACGAAACCAGCGGGGTGAAACCAGCGCTTGCGAAACCAGCGCTGGCGAAACCAGCCATCGGCGAAACCAGCGGGCCGAAACCATCGCCGGCGAAACCAGCGCTGGCGAAACCAGCTCATGCCTGCCAGGGTCCCTCTTGGAAGGCCTCGCGGGGGCCTCGGAGTGGCATCAGTAGGTCTTCTGTTCGCGATACGTTCTTAGATGCACAGTCATCGCAAACACAGCTTATCGGAGATCCGCCCGCCAGGGGGGCCCAGCGCCCTGGGCGGCGCTGGAGGCGCCCCCCCAGGGGGGGACCCACGATCAATTATGTTTGTTTTGTTCTTTGAATGTTGGTGCTCAAATGGCATGATGCTGCCGCTTTCTGTTTCCTGCTTTCCGAGAGGTACTTCCGCGAACCGCCACGTGTTTGGCGCAATTCTGTTGTGCCCAAGCTGGGCCTGAAGCGTCCTTTGGCTGCCCCGACCTCGTTTTGGTTCCAGGCCGCCGCGACCCAAACCGTGTTGCGCAACGTTGGGATATCTGGGGCGTGAGGACAACGGGCCCGCGTGACATGTAGGCGACGCAACAAAAATTACCAGGTGGTAGACTGGGCCGACATTGGCGCGTCAGCTGCCCGCGCAAGGTCGCGCGTAAGCGCCCTCGTCTTCGTTCTGGGGTGCCGCGTTGGTTGCCCGCGCACGCCACCCCGCAGGGTCGCTTTGTCATCTCGCGTGCGACCTTTCTCTTCGCGTTGCTCAAGTTGGAGGCCCGAGTGTCGTACAGTCGGCCCGGATTAGTAGCTCGACCCTGCCAAATCAAGGGTACTTTTGTGTCCCGTGTCTCGCGACCCGTGCCTCCTGCATCCCTACGGCAACGTGGCCCTCGGAAGTGTCTGTGGTCCTCTCGCGTGCCCTGTCCAGCGAAGTCCGGCTGTGACACTCCTCTCTGCCCAGCCTCGCGCCTCCGCGGAGTGCCGGCGGGGGGCTGCAGCCCCGTCTTCCCCCCTCCGCACGCACCCTGCTGCTGCAGGCAAAAGGGAGGCCGCGCACGTGCTCCCGCGCCCAATCCACTGGAACATCCTCCTCCTCCTCCTCCTCCTCCTCCTCCTCCTCCTCCTCCTCCTCCTCCTCCTCCTCCCCCTCCTCCTCCTCCTCCTCCTCCTCCTCCTCCTCCTCCTCCTCCTCCTCCTCCTCCGCGAGGTACTTCCGCGAGCCGCCGCCCGCAGTGCCGGGGCTCCCCGCGGAGTGGGCGTGCCGACGGCCCGGCGCCGGCAAGGCGGCCGTGCGGGCGGGCGGCCTGCTCCCCCGGGCGGTGCCCCCCTCTCGCACGGGGGCGCCTCGGATGCCACGGCTCGTGGGCGTCCAGCGGGCTCGGCATCCGCTCGGGCGTGGGCTTCTCGTTGGTTCCTCGGCGGGGGCCCCTGAGGAGGATCCTGGATCATCCTGCCCCCCCCCCCCCCCAGAAATTCAACACGCACGAAACCGAGGCATACCCGGGGAATAGGCGTCCGAGCGGTGGCGAGGAGGGGGGGGTCCAGGCCTCCCAGGGGGGGTCCGAGCAAACGGGGTCGGAGGATCGCGCCGCATCGCCGATGCATCGGCGATGCGGTTCGATGTGGATCCCGATTCTCTCATCGCCGACGTCGCCGATGCATCGCTGACGTCGCCGATGCATTGGCGGTGCGGCACGATCCTCCGACCTCATCTACTTGGACAGTGGGTGGATATCATGGCTTGGGCCATGATGGTTCCCCCGATTTCATGGCCTTCACTTCTCCTTTCAATACGTCTCCTGGCCCCCCCCCCCTGGGCCGCGCACGTGCCTCGGGCCATGGCTTGCGAACTCCCGCCTTGGACGCCTCCCTCTCGGACGCCCCCCTCTTGGATGCCCCCACAATTCAAGCAGTGGCGAGGCGTCCTTGCTTGCCCATGGGCCTGCCAAAGAACGTTCCAAAAGCTTGTCTGTAGTTTGCACGAGCTGTTCTTAGAGCGCGTCTGACTGCGACAGTCTTGTTGTAATCAACCGGTTCCATGTTCCAAGCACAATGCAACCCATCCGACATGTCCAGGCTGCTAGATTTAAGGAGAGAATTTCTATCTACCCACCCTGCATGCCGCGGTCGCCAGGCCCCACAGTATCCTGGGAATCCCCGAGTGTCCTGCCTCGCGTCCTCCACGAATTACGGCAGCATTTCGCGGCCGCCAGACACTCATCGGGCGAAGAACGGCATACAATGTTTTTGTTCCGCCGTCGGGGACGCCTGTCCATGGGCGGCTGGAATGTTTATACCCCTACGGTGCCGCCGTAAGTGAATCAGCTTTCCAGCCGCCCTGGGACACGCCCCCCCCCGACAGCGAAGAAGTTTGTTTCATACCGCTCTTCGCCCGTGAAGACACCACGGGATCCCCAGAGTCCCTGGGTGTGTCCCGCGTCGCGTCCTCCACGAAGGACGACCCCTTCCCTTGGCATCGCTCGGACGTGTGCATTTTTTCTCGGCGAGGACCGTCAAGGAGCATTCTGGATCACTTCGCAGAAAAAGCACGCATGAAACCGACACATGCCGGGGAAATGGACGTTCCAGCGATGGCAAGCTCCTGCACGCCAGACAGCCCTTCGATGGGGGAGGCAGACACGGTGTCCCGGCCTCGCGCCGCCCACGCGTCACGACGCGGGAGCCACGACGCGTGAAGCACCGGCACCGAGGGCACACAGCAGCAGCGGACGCCTGCAGCATAACGCCTGTACATTCTGGCGTCGCTCTCCGTTTGTCTTGGCGATGGTCGTCTTCTTCCTTCTCCTGGTCCTCCCTCCCCTCGGCATCGCTCGGACGTGTGTATTTTTTTCCCGGCGAGGACCATGAAGGAGAATTCTGGATCATTTCGCAAAAAAGCACGCACGAAGCCGACAAAGGCACGGGAAATGGACGTTCGAGCGATGGCAAGTCTTTCTCCTCCTCCTCCTCGCCCCCTCGCCTGTCGCGCGGGACGTTTGCGGTGGCGTTCGGCCCTCTCGTGCAGCGCGTGCAATTCAATGTCCTCGAGTTCGCGCTGGTGCAATCCGGCCGGGGCCCCGGGTTTGCCGGGCGTGTGAGGTGGGGTCCGCCGCTTGGTCGTCTTTCATGATAAATCCCCGGTAGAGCTTACCAGAGTAACACATACCACACTCCAATGAATCGTTAAGAGCATGACGTAACACGGTAGCCAATACCATAACAGAGAGCACATCATCACATACCATGGCATGGTAAGTCATGCCGGATCAAACCAGGACATACCACATCTTATCACAGCATAACATTATATAGCAATGCATCAAACGGAATAACGGAGCATCACAACATTTACCATGCCAACATGTACCATAACAATTATGCCTTAAGAGTGCTACCAATACGGTAGGGAACGTAACATACCAATCATGTATGATTAGGCGGCCGTAGCATATGATGACCTAACACAACCAGATACACTGATTGGACTATATGTACACCTCGACGACATGACATTACACAGCAAACCATACCATTACACGCCATACTGTATCATACCATAACAAAGGTTCACACGCCGTATCACACCGCAACATAAGTCATCCGACCGTGACTGTACGGGATATACCACAATATAACACAACATACGGTGACCGAGCGTATCAGACTGGTTATGTTATTGTTACCGCTACGCCAACGTCTATATCATAACATAGTTACACCTGCCATAGTTCAAGACTTATTTCGGGATGTCACAACTTGTAGCACCGTCAAGCAGGCAATATAGTAAGATGGACACCTGTTCGATAGTTTCTTGGCGCAGCAGTATACATATATACACATGTTTATTTATACATATACTTATACACACTTTTTTTGATATATCTCTACACATCAGACGGCCGCGTAACAGAGCAGTCCGTATTCGCAAACCAAATAAACATACCACAGCATACGTGACAAACACTGCAATATCAACGAATCGTGAAGTCCTTGCACTATCTATCATACTTGTTGTGCAACTTCGGGATAAGAGTGCAATGGCAGAGTGAGGGCCAGTCGCTAAGGGTACGATCATGGGCGCGATGCCAGAATGTCTTAGAAGAGCATGTGTATACTAGAACCCGAAAGAATGCATCCGATCACACACACACACGAACATAACAGAGCATAGCAATACACATGCCGTTTTCACAACATAGCATAATAATATTGCCCGTAGCCATAATCACGCGGGGGATCCAAGTGTGACAATTGACAGCCCACTTTGAATCCAACACGGTGACATGGTTGCGATGTCGTCGGCGACTGTTCTCTCATCCGTCACCATCTTATGCGCTTTCACGCTAGCCGACGCCAACGTCAACGGCGAGGCGTACTGTGAGAACGGTGCCGTGTCCGTCGAGGAGTGCGAGCGCTCCTCGTGCTGCCACTACAACCCGGACGGGCTGGGGAAATGTTGGAGCTCTATCTCGTCTAGGACATGCTATGACGTGGCGCCTTCGCTGACTGTGTATTTCGCGGAGACTTACCCAGATTCAGAATGCTATGGCAGCCCTTCATACAACTATTTTTTCAAGAAGGCCACAGGCTTGCTGGACTGCTACGTCTACACCGATATCACTGGCGAGCACATCTTGGGGGGTAGTTTTGCTGTGACCTGCCTCGGCGACAGAGCAACTTTCAACGAGTTTGATCGTGCGAATTGCACAGGCTCTATCGTTGCATGGGGGACAACGCCGTGGGCTTGGTACACATCAAATACGTGCTCAAGTTTCGAATACGATCATCAAGTATCGGGTACGTCCATACTTCTTAATCGAAGCCTTACGGGACAAGTCTTGACGTCCAGCGATTATCCTTCCACGTGCACTAATACCACGCAGGATGTATGCGAAGACGATGATGCCTTGTTCGCTGCTAGCGCCAACCGGGTCAATGCTTCTTGCAGCGTTGCGGCTGCATTGGGTCTTTGCGTTTTCGCCGACATTTCACACGTGTGCTGTAAATCATGCTCTGCGACGCCTCCCACTGGCGAGGCGTACTGTGAGAACGGCGCCGTGTCCGTCCAGGAGTGCAAACGCTCCTCGTGCTGCCACTACAACCCAGACGGGCCGGGGAAATGTTGGAGCTCTATCTCGTCTACGACATGCTATGACGTGGCGCCTTCGGGGACTGTGTATTTCGCGGAGACTTACCCAGATTCAGAATGCTCCGGCAGCCCTTCAAACAATTTTTATTTCAAGAAGGCCACAGGCTCGCTGGACTGCTACGTCTACACAGATGCCACTGGCGAGCACATCGTGGGGGGTAGTTTTGCTGTGACCTGCCTCGGCGACAGAGCAACTTTCAATGAGTTTGATCGTGCGAATTGCAAAGGCTCTATCGTTGCATGGGGGACAACACCATGGGCTTGGTACACATCAAATACGTGCTCAAGTTTCGAATACGATCATCAAGTATCGGGTACGTCCATACTACTGAATCAAAGCCTCGTGGGACAAGTCTTGGCGTCCAGCGATTATCCTTCCACGTGCATTAATACGGACTGCCAGGACTACGACGACGTACTGGGGCTTTTTCTTGCTGGCATTACCGAGTGTAGCGTTGCGGCTGCATTGGGCCATTGTGCTGACGCCGAGATTTCACACGTGTGCTGCGAAACATGCTCTGCGTCGTCTCCCACACCAGAACCGACATACCCTGACGGATTCTCCGAAGCCTCAGGTGTTTGGGCTTATTGTCCCGCCTTCATGACCTTGTTGTTGAGCGTTACTGGGGTGTTGCAGTAGAAAGTTGGTTCTGCGGCGCAGACCTCGTGTGCACCACAGGTATGCAAGAGCTTACCTGTTTGTGTGTGTTTTTTTTATTCCTCTCGCTTCGCGGGGTGCACGTCCAGAGCACGTACAGTCACGTCGTCGCGGAGCTTCTTGGGGGCCTCCTGGAGGCCTCCTGGGAGCTTCCTTGGGCCTCTTGGGGACTTTTTGGGGGCCTCTCCCCCTTCACTCCTTTTCATACTCCCTTCCCATATTTCTTTCCAGCGCCGGCTCTAATCATGGGCGCCGCTGTGACCAACTTCCACCTGGCTGGCGCTGCGCCGCAGTTCGCCCAGGGTGGAAAAATGACATTGCACTCCAGTCGCTGTTTGGCCTTTGGGGGGCTTCTTTGGAGCCTTTGGGAAGCTTCTTGAGGACATCTTGGAGGCCTCTTCGGGTTTTTTTGGGGCCCCTTGGGGGCCTCTTCGGTGCCTCTTGGGGCCTCTTGGGGGCGCCTTTGGCCGTATTGGGGCGCTTTTGCGCCGCTTCGCCCTTTCCGAGGCCGTCTTGGGGGCCTCTCGCGGCCGCCTTGGGGCCGTCTTGGGGTCTTTTTGGGCCGTCATAGGGGCCTCTTGGACCGTCTTGGGGGCCTCTTTGGACCGTTTTGGGGTTCTGTTGGGCAGTCTTGGGGCCCTCTTGGGGGCTTCTTGGGTTGTTCAGGAGCGAGTTGGGAAGCTGCCTGGGCCGCAAAGGCGAGAACGCTACAATCTTACCAAACCAAGAGGAAATCAATGATTTTGGCTTTTGGAGGCGCGGTTGTGGGCGCTCTTGGGGCCCTCTTGGGCCGTCAATGGGTTTTTTTGGGCCCTCTTGGGGCCGTCTTGGACCGTCTCGGGGCTGTCTTGGTCCGCGCAGAGCCCATCTGGAGCCGTCTTGGCACCCTCTTGGCCCTTCAAGAAGTCCAAGAAGTCGAAATCATGGATTTTCTATAGGTTTGGGTAGGTTATTGAGCCCCGGGGGGGGGGCACTTTGGTCCGCTCCTGTGGCGCAGCTCCCAGAGGGGGGGTTCAGACATAACGTATAATGTAACACAGTGCAGTATGTTGCAAGTATGCAATCATTGGGTACATTGGGTACGTTGCATTATCGCCTCCGCAGAAAACTCTGCAGGGTGTGTCAGAGCACGTTCAGTCCAGTCGTTGTGGGGCCTCCTGGGAGTCTCTTTTGAGCTTCTTGGAAGCTTCATGGGTTTTTTTGAGCCTTTGGGGGGCCTCTTTGGAGCCTCTTGGGGCTTCTTGGGGACGTCTTGGGCCGTCTTTGGGCGCTCTTACGCCGTCTGGCCACTTCGGAGGCCACTTTGGAAGCCTCTCGCGGCCGCCTTGGGGTTTTATTGGGGTCCTCTTGGGCCGTATTGGGTCTTTTTGGGCCGTCTTGAGGGTGTTTTTTGGCCGTTTCGGGGCCCTCTTGGGCTGAGTTGGGGCCCCCCTGGAGCCCTCTTGGGCCGTTTGGGGGCCTTTTTGGAGGCTGCTTGGGCCGTCATGGCTTCTCAGAGCCGAAAAAGGCGAAAACGTTGAAATTGTCCCAAAACGTTAGGATAATCAAAGATTTTGGCCTCCGGAGGCGCTCTCGGGAGTCTTCTTGGGGGCCTCTTGGAGTTTCTTGGGGGCCTCATGGGCCCTCTTGGGGCCATTTTGGGTCGTCTTGAGGCCGTGTTGGGCTGTCTTGGGGCCATCTTGGGCCGTCTTGAAACTTTCTTGGGGCCCCAAGAGACCCAAGAGGCCGAAATGGTTGATTTCTCATAGGTTTTTGATGTTTTTGAATCCCAGAAAAGGGGTCCGCCACCTTTGGGTCGACGGAAGTGGCGTGGCCCCTGGGGGGGGTTAGGGGGGGAGACATAATAACGTAACACAATACAACACGTTGCAATTATGCAATCATTGGACACATTGGATACGTTGCATTATCGCCTCCGCAGAAAACGCTGCCGCTCAGCACGTCACCTCCGGCTTACGCCACATCCGCCGACCCCTATATAAACTATTGCGCCTCCAGGACTGTATTTCACGAGGTTTGTCCGAATCATGACACGGCGCTCGACATCGTTCCTGTTGCTTCGTTGCCGTTATCGTACCTCTTGGTGTTCTTTTGTTGCCTTTTGGTGGCATCTTGTCTTGTCTCCAGGCCATCTCCGGCCGCCTCGAGGCATCTTGGGCCAAGTTTTGGGGCCTCTTGGGGGCTTCCTGGGGGCTTCTTGGAGGCCTTTGAGGTTCTCTTGGGGGTCCCTCAGGGCCTCTTGGAGTGTTCTTGGGGTAGGCTGGGGGCGTCTTTGGGCCGAAGGCTCGAAAAGGTGCCCTCTGGACTCCCTCTGCCATCTGGTGGCCCTCTTGGGCTGTCTTGGGGGCTTCGTGGGCTGTCTTTGGACCCTCTACGACCCCTCTTTGGGGCCCCTATCGGCCGAGTCATTGACCAGCTGAATTACCGCCCGATGGATAGCAACAAATGGGCGACCCACTCAGACACCCATTTTGCATGCTACTGGACTTCGGCACCATTGATGGAGTCGCCGATGTTCAAGCTCGAACAGGTGATCGAGATTCACGGCGGCCCCAACCATGCCGTACAGGAGAAGTTCGGGTCATGCTTGATCTTTCAATTCCGTGTCGGACCGCATTCGTGCGTGGGCGCGGGATCTTCCCGTGTGTACCGCGGAGCATTTCTTCAAGAAGGTGCTGCGGTTCTTCGACTCCGAGTTTGTGCAGGGTACGCGACGGGGATCTTCCAGTGGATCGCCAAGGTGTACCAGCATTTCTTGCTGGAGGGCATCCAAGAGCTGACCAAGTTTAACAAGGTCTCCATCAGTGCTCATCATCCTGCCCTCACAGCGCTCCGTTCGTCCTATAAACATTGCGAACACCGACACGAGTCTCCAGGATTCCCTCCTTGGGAGGAGCCGGTGGCAACACCTGCTGCGCCTGGCCAGGACGAGTCAGGCGCTGCCGAGCCCGAAGCTTCCGTCGAGGTGCCTCAGGGCCAGGCAGTGTTGCTTCGGCAGCACCGGATCAGGAGACGATGGTGCAGGTCCTGGCACAGCAGAAGAAGCTCGACCGCAACGAGGGTGACAACGAGAATGCCCTCCAGGCCGAGGCTGCGCGCATCCGCGCAGAGCTGGCCAAGACTTGCGGGAACTTAGATGTATCGGATAACGGGCCGGCCGCATGCGCCGGGTTGCCCGGTGATCGACTGTCGCTCACTGGGATCGAGGGGGTCGGTCGATCGGTCGCCTTCCGTGCCACCGCTGAGCCCAATAGAGATGCGATGAACCTCCTTGGTCATGCTCTCGCTTCTGAGGCCGGTGGCAACACCCGCTGGGGAACTCTTGGGGATCTCGTTTCAGGCGGGGCCCTGAGTCGCTCCCGCATGATATCCCTCGATGCAGCAATTGCAGTCGCTTTCTTTCCCAGGGCATTGTCACAACCAACGGCGCTCTGTGTGACATATGCTGGCACTACAGTTCATATGTGGGTGCCGCAAGGGCTGGCGGCGCAGAGGCTGCGGGCCTTGCGTATCTGCAGGAGCTCAACGAGTGGATCAGGACCAGCTTGTCTCAGAACGAGGTGAAACGCCCCCTCGTAGAGGGCGCGAAGATCTACTTCGGGGGACAGCGTCTGGCTGACAGTGAACAGCGCAATAGATTGAGGACAATGGCGAAGAAGGTCGAGGAAAGGTACAAGCGGTGGTGCGACGCGGGTTGTCCACCTTCCAGCGAATGCCGGCTCGTGGGCGAGCCCGACGACCATCGCACATTGCACCACCCCTATCGGACCGTCTTTCAGCGCTTCCTCAATGAGTCTCGCTCCCACCACCAAATGACTGGAGCCCGTGAGGCTATCGGCAAGGTGCCCTGGGCCGAGGAAGACATGTGTTGGGCTTGCGATATCCATTATCCTAGCCAAGGCGCTTGGCCTCGCCGGTCGCAGGAATTGGTGGTTGAACGAGGGCAGGATGGACAGACGCACCGGGCAAGAACGCGGTCTGGTCACGATTGCGGTTGCCCGCGGGGTCGGCACTTCTGACCGGGCACGTGTCGTAAAATTGCCAAGGCTGCTTCCGTCGGACCTTCCCTTGAGTCAGACATCCAACGTGCTGTGTGGGGAGGTAAAGGCTATGGGGGGAAGAGTTCAGGGTTTCGGAACCGACCCTAACACTGCCCCCCCCCCCACACACACACACACGCACACGCAACTTTTACCCCCGATGCCATGGCGCCGCCGCCTCGCGCTGTCCCTGGCGCTGGTGCTGGTGCGCGCGCCAGTGGCGCGCTGGCAGCGATGCCCGCTGGGCCGCGCGGCGACGCCGCTGCCGCGACCCATCCGAGCGGCTGACAGGCAGCTGGCGGCAGCGCTGGCCCCCGCGCTCCAGTGGCGCCCCCGCGGGCCAAGCGGGCGCGCGTCGCCCGCGAGTGCGCCGCCCACTGGCGCGACAACCTTGAGGGCAGCGAGTGGGGCCCCAGATGCTGGAGCTACTACAACAACTGCTGGGTGTACATCGCGGAGAACAACGGCGAGTTCGTGTACCTGCGGGACATCCAGCACGGCCCTCGCTTCTACAATTGGCGCGCGCGGGCTGCGTGGGATGCGTGCAGAACCAGCTACATTGGCACTGGCGGCCGCCGCGTCTGGGCAAGTGAGTTCTGCCCGCGCGGCAATGCCTAATGATGTCGGCCGCGAGGCCCACTGCTCGAGTTTGCCTGAACTTAGTCTTTACAGAGTTCGCCTCGAGCAGTACAAACGCAAACCTTTAGCCACTTCGCTATCATTGACAAGTGGCTTCACACAAACATCCTGGTGATGTCCCAGGCGCGCTCCTTAAGAGCACTGCCGAAGAGACTCACCCAATACAGAATTTGATTATGTAACCTTTCGTGTTCTTCAAGACGGCATCGCATTTATTTTGCTTGCGCGCGTCATCTGCGCGGTAGCTTTTATATTGCGCATAACGGAGCACTGATTATATTGACAGGCCAGCTTTTATTTGAT